GCTTTGGTCCTGTTCACCCCAGCATGGCCACTAGGGCAGTGGTTCCCAAACTTGGTTCACAGTTTGTTCAGGGTAAGCCCCTGGCAGGCCACGAGAAGCTTTATTTACCTGAGTGTCTGCAGGTATGGCAGCTTGCAGCTCTCAGTGGCCGTGGTTCGCCATTTCCCTTGTGTGACCTCGGCCCATCAATTAGGAACCATTTTTTCCAGCAAACTCCCTTTTAAAGCCTTGTAGGTTTTAACTGTTGATGTCACGGCTCTGTCCCGCAGCACTCGCTCCTCTGAAGAGCTCGAGAAGAGCCTTTTGCTGATAAGACCTCCTAACCAGTTTGATTCACACAGTCTGGTGAAGGCAGAGAAAACCCTTGGGACTTAAATACACAGATCTGGCAGCCTGGACAAAGACAAGACAATCGGAAGCCAACTCTCGCTAATGACAATTTACTTACCCTCAGAATAGCGGGTCAGTCCGGTTTATTAAACCTGGACTATGAATAGATCAAACATGGAGAGGGCGTGACTGTAATTCTCTTTGCTATACACCATTGCCGTCGTTCCATGTGCCTCAGCCTGGTTTTCACTTGCTTGTGTTTCATTTTGCCTTCCGGAACCGGTTAGCCTGTGTTGGACACATTTTTCCCCCGATGCCGGTTGAGATTTTGTGGGGCTGTCTTTGAAAGGTTCAAAAACCAAATACAGAAATTTGAATCTGGCTTTTAGTAACAGACCAACCCTAGAACTCATGTGCAAAATCGGCTCCCTCCCCTAGGCTGGGCTGTAACGTTGTTTTGGAAATGGCTTGTTGGGTCACTGGAGGAGTTTCGTAAAGCAGCTCCTCGTTTCACGCAGGTGGGGAAACTCCAGCATCTGCTGCCAGACATCCAGAAGTGGCTACACGAGGCAGACAGGGACGTCATCGCCAAGGCCATCACTGACCTGAACCTCATCTTCACTGGCACGGACAGGGAGAGCACCAGCCCCGCGGCTGTGCAAGTGGCTGAGAAACTCCTGCCATTCTTTGATGATGTAAGGCCTGGCGGCCCGTGGGAGACCCTTCAAGCCGTGGACGTGTGAGTGGGGGCTGGCGGGTGGGCTAGCAGGGCCTGTGCTATGGTCCTAGGCAAAAAAAGGATTGTCATAAATGATGTGAGCCCATTCCCACATTCCTCTGCTACCCCACTCTCCATCAGAGCATATGGCAGTAAGGGTGTGTCAGAGTTCCCTCCCCTCTCTGAACTCAAGGGTACAGATGTGGGGACCTACATGAAAGACCCCCTAAGCTTATTTCAACCAGCATAGGTTAAAAACTTCCCCAAGGCGCAAATTCTTCCTTGTCCTTGGACGGTATCGCTGCCACCACCAAGTGAGTTAGACAAAGATTCAGGAAAAGGACCATTTGGAGTTCCTGTTTCCCCAAAATATCCCCCCAAGCCCCTTCACCCCCTTTCCTGGGGAGGCTTGAGAATAATATACCAACCAAATAGGTAAACAAGGTGAGCACAGACCAGATCCGTGGGTTTTTAGGACACTAAAACCCAATCAGATTCTTAAAAACAGAACTTTATAATAAAGAAAAAAGTAAAAGAAGCACCTCAGTACAATCAGGATGGAAGGTAATTTTACAGGGTAATAAGATTTAAAACACAGAGTTTTGTAGGCAAAACTTCAAAGTTACAAAAAACAGGAATAAACCTCCCTCTTAGTATAGGGAAAATTCACAAGCTAAAACCAAAGATAATCTAACGCATCCTCGCTATTACTTACAATTTGTAATCTTAGATGCTTATTTCAGGTAGGGTTTTAGGAGATGTGTTTTTCCTGCCCTGGTCTCTCTGTGTCCTGGAGAGAACAACAAAGAGACACAACCAAAACCTTCCCCCACAGATTTGAAAGTATCTTCTTCCCTTATTGGTCCTTTTGGTCAGGTGCCAACCAGGGTATTTGAGCTTCTTAACCCCTTACAGGGAAAGGAGGGGTTTTGGTTTTATGCTACCCTTAGTTGTATGTTTATGACAGGGTGGGAACCCTGGTGTCCTGCAGGCCTGGTGAGAAGGATCAGGGCAGCCTGGGGATGAGGCTCCCCTTGGGGAAGGACATGCATTCCTGAGCCTGCATGCAGCGAGGGGGCCCCTGCAGCACAGGGTGCTGCAATGCTCTTGCTGGCTTCCAGGTGATGGTACCCTGGTGAAAATCGTGCCCCTCCTTCCCCACCCCTCCGGCCAGGAATCCAGCAGCTGGCCTGTCAGCTCCATAAGGAAACAGCTCCCTTTGTAGGTTCTGCAGCTACTGCCCTTTCCGCTCCCCTTCGTTTTCAGGGCAGGGCAGCGTCAAAGGAGGGGCTAGTTCTCCCCAGGCCTTTCGTAACCACAGACTAGCCCCCGCCGGTGCGCTCACCAGATTGATGTTCACTCCCCCACCGGACAGCGAGATCCAGCAAAGCGGGCGGGAGGAAGGGACCCATCCATTACTGCCTTCCAGGGGTAACGCCCCAGTGGGGGCTCCTAGAAGGACCACCCAGCTCCCACAATGCTAAATCCTACCCGCAGCCCTCCCCAACTCTGCTGGGACCCGGCCGCTCTTTATTTAGCAATGGCACAGGGCCGGCTAAAGCTGTTCCCAGGGTCTCCTGGATCCCCAGCTGACCGATGGGACAGGGCAGCCCAGACTGAGGATGCAGGATCTCGCCCTGGGGTGAGCCCTTTAAACCAAACCCCTCTCGAGCCCGGGGGGAATAGAACAGGTTCGTTATGTGGGTGGGGGGGCGTTAAATCCAAACAGTGTTAATGAACACAACGCCCCCCCACCAGGGAAAGGCAAACAGGCCTCAACAACTGGAGGGAAAAGCAGAGAGGTGCCAATTCAACACCGGCCTGTGCTGGCCCCCAGAGCCCTCCCCTGCCCGCTGCTCTGAGCTGGCACCGGGGGCGGGGCGGCTGGCTAGTAAGAGTGGCATGGGATGGAGTCGAGCGGACAAGCCAGGCTGCCTCTGTTATGGCACGTTACCCTGTATTATACTGTTCAGCGATGAGGGGAGGCTGGGTAAAATACCTTCTTTAAATGAACCTCAAATGTACCCGGCCGAGCATTAACGGGTCTTGTGATGAACCCATCTGCAGTGCTCAGCGTGTGCCAGGGCCGAGCCCCGGCACCTCTGGGCCTGGCAGATCGGAGCCCTGGCACCTCTGGGCTTGCTGCATCAGTTAGGAATGTAAAAAAATTGCTTGAGCCCCTGCACTGCCCATCTGGTGTGTGTAAGCAAGCTCCGTAGCCAGTCCATACCTGGTCCAGAAACATGATATGGTGTCCCACCTGCGCCCACCCGGAGAGTGTCATTGAATATTCCAAGCAAGACTATAGAGTTTAAAATTAACAAGAGCTGATGTCTCAGTCATCTCAGCAGGGACTTAATATCACCGTCAACCCCTCCCAGCCTTCCTGTGACACAGCTCTGACCCTCCCTGAAGGGATCCCGAACTGTGTGGGCCAGTTCATCACCGAACCAATTTACAAAGACAAAAACTTTGCGTTCAGTGTGTAGGGGATCAAAGACCAACAACCTTCTCAGCTGTAGGGTGGGAGCCATAATGGGCCGAGTGAGAAAGATGCAAGAACTTGAGGATCTGATGCTACTGGGCTTTTGAAAGGTGATCTAGCCCAAATTAACTTAAGAGGCAATGCTGAACCAGTGAACAACCACCTCTACAAGAGAGAGGCCTGGGAAGGGACTAGCTGCAGATTTTTGTGAATTCAGAGGACAGCAGTGCCAGGACATTGTGGACTATTCTTCCAGCTATATGGACATAATGTACTTGAAAGACATAACATGTTGCGGTGCTATTGAGAAACTGAAGTGCACGTTTGCTCACTTCGGTATCCAGAACTAGTGATGGACAATGGCCCACAATTCACTGCAGCAGAATTTAAGTCAGCCTGAATGGAATTTGATTTTGCTCAGAGGGGTAGCCATGTTCGTCTGTATTCACAAAAACAATGAGGAGTCCGGTGGCACCTTTAAGTCTAGCAGATTTATTTAAGAAACCCACTTCTTCAGATGCATGGAGTGAAAATTACAGCCTCCTCACTCCTGGAGTAGGTTCACAGCTGGGCATCCCAGCTGGAGCTAGATAAGGGCTGAGCTCCCTGGGCAGGCTGGGCTTAGCGCATGCCCCCTCCTTGGCATTTCTGGGGGGAAGGGGGGCGCACAGCGTGCTGGCCTCCAGGGATCCTTGGGTGGCAGCAGGAGGGCACCTACAGTTAGGCACAGCCGGACAACACCCAAGCCCCCTTTGTGGATTTCCCTCCCTGTGGGCCTAAGTGCCCATCTGTCCACTGGGGGGAGGGGGGCAAAGGGAGGGTATGTAACCCACACACCTCCTGGGTGTGATGTTCTGTCCCATCTAGTGGCACTGAGCCCACTGGCGGGGGGAAGGAGGAAATGAGTCTGCTCTACAGTCTTGGTTAACAGTTGGCTTTTAGCTCATACTGTAGAGGTTCATGCACTAAGCTCTAGAGGTCCCCGGTTCAATCCTGGACAAGCCCCCACTTGTAACGCCGACAGACCCCAGTCGTCGGCAGGCGGGATCGAACCTGGGACCTGTGGAGCTCAGTGCATGGCTCTTAGCTAAGGCTGTAGAGCAGACTCATTCTCTCTCTTTAAGTGGTCTCAGTGCCGCTAGATGGGACAGACCACCACACCCAGGAGGTGGGGAGGTTACACGTAAATACAGGCAGGGATACTGCAGTCTAGGGGGAGTCCTATAAATAGTGGGTGAACGGGGTTTATTGTGACTTCGTGACTGTGTCTGGAGGCCCCCCCTCCAGCTGGTGAGCCAGCCTCCCTCCTTTGGGGCTTTGTGCCCCGGCACCTGCTTGAGCGGGGTGAAACTCTTGGTGTCTACGGGGGAGGCTCTTCCCACCATCCCAAACCCTGGCTTCTCGCCCATCGGCCACCTGCCCTTCCCTATGCAATCCCTCCTCATACAGAGCAGCCCCACTCCTCGGTTTCATTTTGGTGCGTTTATTTACGAAGACAGCGCAAGGAACAGACACATCCATCGGGAAAAACCATGTACAGCTTGAGGCTTCAACAACCCCATTTACAGTGATACATCGAGGTATAAAATATATACACACCTTGTCCTATACACAGAACACAGACCGCCCCGCTGGATCACACAACCCAGAGAGAGAAAAGCCTTAGCAAGCGTTGACAGCTCCAAAAACATCCCAGGGCAAGAAAAGGCACCGGCTGTTTGCAACACTTGTACAGTATTGACACAGGGTGAGGGCTAAACTAAGTGACCAGTGTTAGGTCTGCTCCGTCTCTACTGGCTGAGGCTCCATACACAGCTGCTCACGCTCACAATGCAGGGCAGGAGTAAGGTTACTATCCCATCACCAAAAGAACCTCAGTGTAAAGCAGTGCTCCTTCCTGCCCCAGGGGGTGGGGGAGAAATCACACAGACGACTACACCAAAGGCCAGGCATCGTCCCAGGGTAAAGCAGGGCTGTAGTGTAAGGTGGAGGAGCCCCCAGACGAATGCAGCTAAGAGTTGCAAGGCTGGGCACCGGAAGAATCTCCTGGTGGAACTGTGGGGAGGGGTGGAAGGATCCCTGCGCGGGGTCAATCCCAGTGCCAATGGCCCACTGCCTTTGCAGAGGCACAAGGCCACTGATGAAGGCCGTTCGTCCTACCCTGCTGGGTCTCGCAACTCAGCTCCCCCAGGAGAGAAGCTTTGCCCAGCGGCTTTGTTGTTAGGGCTGAAAGGGGTGAGAAGGGAAGGGGAGACGCTGACCATGGGATGGCACCAGTCAGCTCAGAAAGAAATCTGACGCTTGTGCTCTTTGGGGGAATCGTACCTGAAACGGGGGTCAGCGGGAAGCAGGATGGGAATACGGCCAGCAGTGTGTGGGGGGGGGGGGGTGGGGGGAAGGGCTGAGAGTAAAGGACCAGGAAGGAATCAGGGTCCTGGGAGAGGATCAGTGCCAGGACACATCCTGGTGCTCATGAGAATCCACCTTCCAGTAGGGCGGCCCCAGGTTTGTAACCCTTACGCTGGGGAGCTCTTCCAAGTGAAGGCCCCTGCCTCAGGGACCCATCCCTGCCCAACATAAGGGCTGAGAATGGAGCCCCCAGCAGGGGGGTTACTCCTAGGTCCTCAGGAGCACGAGGGATGGGAGGGACCCCTCAGGACGACAGGCTTCCCCCAGGGCTTTTGGGGGCTAAAGGAGTCTCTGTTCCTGGACTGGACATGCCAGGTCACCAGCGATTAGAGGGAATGGGGCTAGCAGCGGCTCTGCGGTGCTAACAGCTAACTGGGGGCCTGAAAGGGGTGAGCCGTGGGGTGCTAAATCTTAATCAGCCCTGCCCCTACAGCACAAACAGCAGCAGATGGGACAGAGCGAGTCCCAGCTCCAGGAGGGTACCACAGCCAGTGCAGTGAACGGAGCTGTATGGCCCGCACGGTCGGGAGAGGACAAGGGTGGAGCAGTTGGGGTGGGAAGCCTGGCAGGAATCTAGAGAAAGCAGAGCAAATAGCGCAGAAACAGAGCTGCAGCAACCATGAGTTCAGCTGTCTCCATCGTCAGTTAGGGCATCCTCCCTGGGTCTGGCCCCCCAGAGAGGTTTGCATGAGCAGGGTCTGCACAGACAGCAGGTAAAGGAACAGGGCCCGTGGGTGCCACGCTAGGGGTACATGCAGTGCCCTGCAGCATAAACACAAAAAAAGTCATTCCAGGCAGCTCAGACTTGTAACTTCCATCGTCTCCCCCCGGGTCAATTTCACCACCGGTCTGCAGGAGGCACCATTGCTGCAGCGGCCTTGAGGGCTCCCGGCACTGACCTGTCCCCCCGCGCGGAGCCGCTCCCTGAATTCAATCCCCCTTCATGTGCAGTGGGTAGGGGAAGGTAGCCACTGGCCTGTCGAGTCTTGGATGGTTTCAGGGCCAGAAAGGGGGATGGAGGGAGAAGAGGCAGGAGCAGGGTGGGGAGAGGTTGGGGGTCAAATGCAGATGCCATTCATAAGGGTGGAGGTTACGCAGCTGTAAATGAGTGTGTGCCGACGGGCCTGACTCATGGCCCCACAGACACTGCAGTGACAGGGCAAGATCAGAATCAGGGCTCGGGAGACGCAGCTCACTGCCGCTCCCAGGCCCTCATCCACCTTGGGCTCCTTTCAGCCCCGAGTTACTGGGCTACAGCCTGCCCCGGGCGCTGCTGCAAACGCCAAGGAGACTTGTGGGGGTGAATTTATCTCCTGAGCCCTCGCTGTCCTGCCCCGTTACCTGCTTCCCATCACAGACACACCAATTAAACTCTCCCAGATCACACACGGTCACGGTTACCTTCACTCGTTGCCCCTGCATGGAGGCATTTGTTCCCCATCTCCCCACCTTACATGGTAACATCAGGGATGACTGCACCCAAAGGGACCTCTTGATTTGTGCCGTCCTCTTCCCTGTCCTGCTGCCTGAAAGTACAATCACGTGCAATCACTAGCAGGCAGATTTTGAAGACAAGGAACAAATAGGACTCCTTAGTTCTTCCAAGAGGCTAACGCGCCCAGCTACTAATGACAGCAGGGGTACGTTGGGGGTGTGCTTTGAGTTACTGGCCCCCAGAAGGGGTGCAGCATATATATTTTAGGGGAATGGGCTTCCCCTTTGATTGTACATTACAAAGCTGCCCCTTATTCCCAAGATTAAGCGGCATTGTGCTTTCAGCTGGGGCTCTTCCAGGATTTGTTCCCTGGCTAAGAGGAAGGATAGTCTTGTGCCTAAAAGTCCAGGGAACAGATCCTCAGCTGGTGTAAACCATCCTAGCTCCATTGATGAAGCTGTGACCATTTTCACCAGCTGAGGATCTGGCCCGAGATAAGGGAGGGCATTAGGATTCAGAAAGAGATGGACATTAATCCGAACGCTGGGAAAGAGTCCCTGTTAGGGGACGTTTCAGCCAAACACAAGCTGTATACAACATGAGCTCAGGGGAAACTCCATAACCCTGCTCTTACATGGGTCCTGAATATGATGCCACAGGAGGCTCTTGTTAAATTAGGGTTAAGTGCAGCCAGATCATGGTAAAATCGGTCACTGCATGGTTCCAGATAAGGAGCCATTCCCAGGTGGCCACGGCCAGAGTCAGGACCAAGAGGGTCGGGGGGCGCTTACTGGTTTCACTAAAATGCAGAGGGCCCCACTTCGGGTGAAGTGGAAGACCTGGGAATCAGCGTCAGGCTGTCAGTGCTTTCAAGAACAGGCAGCTGGGGGGTTGGCATGGACCCTTCTCGGCTCGCAGCAGGACTATTGTGGGCTCGAGAGGCATTCCGATGTCCGCCTGGCACACGCTGGCTCAGGGTGGCATTCGGAGCTCCTCTCGACAACCTGCAGACAGGGCCTCCATGTAAGAGTCAGGGTCATGATTTTCAAGAGCGGCTAGTTGTTTCAGGGGCCCAGTCCATGACCCCTTAAAGAGAAAGCCGTGAGCACCCCCTGACTGGAGATCAGACCCCTTTCAAGTGTCAAGTTGGGCCCTCCAACAATCAGAGGTCCTTTTTTAAAGGCTAAGGGGGGCATTTTTCAAGCAGAGCAAGGGTGCGGTAGGTCACCCTGCAACGCTAAGGCAGGACAAGCCCCCAGGACCCGAGCGGCTCAGCAACGCAAGTGGTGATTCCAGGACAAATTCAAGTTTCAAAATCATAAAAAAAAAAGTTTTAAAAATGGCTCAGACCATGAGGTAGCTTAACCTAAAGAACCCCCCTCAAATGACACCCCTCCCAATGAAAAAGAGACCGTCCGCACACACACAGAGCTACAGTACAACACAGCCCCCGCCTGCTCTCCCTTCCACACAGGGAGAGGAGCCGGCAGGGGCACCTCAAGGGAAGGGCTGTGCCCAGCACATGGGAGCGGACAGTGGACACACGCCAGGTGCCCGGTACTGGATCATCTTTTGCCAGCTGGCTGGGCGGCCTCAGGACAACTTGTGAGGAAATTTCCATCTTTCAACCTGCTTGTTCCTATTGACCTCCTGTGGGGTTTTGCCGGCCGGGAACGCCACGAGATGCAGTCGCTCGGTGCGAGACAGAACGAGGCCCAGCCGCCACGAGCGCTCGGTCTTGCAACGTGCTGGGGTCACTGGAGCAGAGCTGCCTGGGATTAGCCCCGAGGCAAAGAACCAGGGAATTCCAACAGGTGGCTACTGGGCTACATGCAGGTGAAATCTTCCCCTCTCATGCAGCGACCCGCACTGAATCCCTGATCCAAAATCCATGGAGGTCAATGGGAGACGTTCTGCTGGCTTCGGATCAGGCTCTTAAAGATCAGATGAAGCCCCACTGAAGCAGACACACTGCTGCCCTGGCTCCCTCCTGCCCCCAGAGCCATTCACACCTGCCAGGGCGGAGCGGGTGTCAGGTGTTACATTCAACAGCCGTTGTGACAAGCAGAGACTCAGGCAACATCCGCCAGGGTATAGGCCACCCACCCACGTCTCAGAGCCCCTAGCTCAGATCCTTCATTTCAGACCATTCACGTTTGCTTGTCCCTCGTTGCCAACTGGAAAAATCCAACTTTTCTCTCCCAGACAGTTTAATCCTGTCCCATCGGGGGGGGGGGGGGGAAGAGGGGATCTTGGATATAATCCACTCTCTCTTGGTGGCTGGAAGGCATCACTTCAACCTGCGTTCCCTTCCCCCAGGCCATCGGCAGAGCCCTGGGGACACTTCTCCTTTCGTTGGTGGCAGCAGTGGGAGAATGATGGGTGGGTGTAATGCGTAGCTGAGCAAACCAAGTCACTGTGTTTGGGTCCCACCAGAGCCAGCACCCTGGCAGGACTTCAGAGCTCCCCATCCCGGTCAGTATCCAGATGCTCAGAGGCTTGATGGAAATGAACAATTTTTCCCATCTCAGAACCACTCCAGAGCAGCAGCGACTGGAGGCCATTTTGCTTTGTGCAGCAGGGGGCGATCACTGGTTTGGCAGGGCTCGCTACTGCAAGACAGGGCAGCCGGATTATCAAAAGGCAAAACAAATGAACGAAGAGGCTGGTGCTGTTTACGAAGTGGAAACGTTTCCTGTCCAATGTATCAGTTTCAAAGGAGGTCAAATCTGGGGTAAGAACCCCTTGGTGTTCTCCTTCGATCTGCCGGGTAGAAGGAAACCCGGGGCAATCCCCTGTTAACCAAGGACACCAAAAGTCTTGCATCCTAGAGAACACACAATCCATTGCTGATGGGGTTAGCTGAAGATCAATCAATAAAACCAGAGTCCGGCCGCTGCTTCTTATGTGACGGGCGGAGCGACGCAAGAAACATACCCGGGGGAAAGGGCCAGCCTGCTGCCGTTCCCTCAGGTCCATTTCGCAGCAAGCTCTGCACCCCAAGGGCGTTACATAGCAGTGAGAAGCTGTCTGACGAAGGTTCTGGCTGCACTGGGTGTTGGTGCGTGGGACTGGGACTCCTTAGCCAGTCATTAGGGGAGGAGAGAGCGAAAGACCCCAGTGACAGCGAGTCCATGTGCTTTGGGGAGTGTAGTGCTGTGGGGTGCCCACGTGGCTCTGGACGCTGCAGGCACTTGGCCGTGGATGCCCCAGAGGAAGCGGGGCACCCAAGCATGGTGGGGGAGATGGTGGCAAGAGACCTTATGCAATTTTGACCTTTGTAAAACTGAAATCTGGGGTGACCGTGGTGATTTAGTGTCTTGTGCCATACTGGCCGTGCAGGTGGGTGGCAAGCAGAGCATGGGCAGGCCATGGGCAACCCCTCATTGCCCCCCAGCTCTGCTAATGCACCTCAAGTCTCATGTGGGCCCCTCCCGCTACCCCCATCTTTCCCTTCATCCAGCTCCATTCTAGCCCTGCCCCACTCCCCGCTGCAGATCCCGTCCAGAGCACCCCACGCCCTCCGCCTTTGCCAAAGCGCCTCTCTCCTGACCATAACACCACCGCCCGCCCTGCCCTTCCACCCACTACTCTAGTCCCAGACCTCTCCCAGGCCAGGCCCCACAGGCTGGCAGGCAGGAATCTGTCCCAAGCAAACCTAAACCCCTCCTGTGAGATGGTGCGGAGAGCTTACCCCTTTTCCCAGCATTAAAGCCTTTCGCAGCTATTAAAAATCCCCAGGTCCCAATCCATTCTCAAGGGTGCTTAAAAAATTCTTTGAAACCCCACTATAAAAGCTTCAATCCCTTCCCGCAGCAGCTGGGAATGAGCTACTCCCATGCTCAGCAGAGATGGCACCAAGCCGGATGTCCAAATGGGCAATGGGGACCACAGGGAACAGCGAACAGACCAGTGCGCGATGAAGGCTCAGTCGGATGTGTGAGGGGGTGCCCAAAGAGAACAGATCCAGAAATTCCGCTTTTCCCTGGAGACGCCCACAGGGATTTTCCCCGATGTGCCAGCTGCCTTCTCTCCACCCCTGGGGCAAAAGGGGGGATGCCCTGGCTCAGAATGAGGTGGGTCAGGTGCAGAGGTCGACATTTGCCAGACAGCATGCGGATTTGGTCCAGCGACACAGCAATGGAGCTGCTGCCGGAGCTCCTTGCAAGGAGCCCTAGTGCAGCGCCGGGGCTGGGAGGCCGTCTCCGGGAGTGGGTCGTTCCCCAGCAGTGCTCCATGCACCCTGCTGGTGCCAGGCTGGGGTAGGCTCTGAGCGCGGCCCTGGGGCGATCTTCGGGCAGCACACAAGCCCTCTCCGTATTTCGGTACCGGCCGGCAGAACCCAGCTCTGCTGAACGATGAGGTGTAGAGAGGGGCGCCTGCAGCCGCTTCCAGGGGGAACGAGACCCCAGGCACCAGGGCGGTGCGGAGGCCAGCAGCAGGGTGCAGGTTGCGGGATCCTTCATGCACATCCAGGCTCCGGGGTGTGGGGGCACTGAATAGGCTGTGGGGCAGACTGGAACGATCCCGTTGAGTGTCTCAGCTCAGGGTCCTCCCCAGGGCTGGCAAGGCCATGTCCTGAAGCACTGCCTGGCTACGCCCCAGTCAGCAGAAAGCCCTATGCATGCTGGAAACCCAGCGTGGGGCTGGACGGCAACGACGCCCCCTAGCCGTGGGAGCTGGCAGTGCACAAAGACCCAGCCGAGACACCATCACCCCAGAGTCCTGGGAACTGGGGCACATGCAGGCCAGGCCGCTCCCACCTCTTCATGGCCGGGGAGAGGGGCTGGGGCCTGGGCCTGCCAGGGAGCCTGCCAGTCGCCCTGGCTCCGGCCTTCCCAGCCCCTAGGTCGGGCCATTTAGGAATCGTCTCCTGCTCCAGAGCTTCACTGTCATGTCACTGGGGAAGGAAGAGAGATAGAGAGGAAGTGAGGCCGGGGGGCTGCCCCCACCTGAGCCCCGCCCCAGCTAAAGAGAGGAAGCACAGCGAATACAATCAGCTGTGGGCCACGCCCTGCCCGCAACTCCCCCGCTCCCAAAGGCATCATGCTGCCGCCCAGGAGAGCCAGGCCGCTGTGCACCAGCGCAAGGAGGGAGCAGATGCGCCCAGATGCCTGCCAGCGGGGTAATCCCCAGAGCGCCAGTAACGGGGCACTGGGCCAGAGCGCAGGCTCAGCCAGTGGCATCTGACTGGCAGTGGCCAGGGACGTGGATCCCCCCAGCAGTGGCCCAAGAGGAGCAGTAGTCAGAGGGGCAAACCCCATGCAGCACCGAGCCAACTGCTGGAGCCAATCACCCCTTCACGGAGGTTTGGAGGGGCCGGGGGAGCTGCCAGCCCTGGCCCCCCTTCCCTACTGCTACAAGGGGGCAGGCAGCCCGCCCCAGGGCAAAGGCATAGAGCAACCTGGGGGGCAGGGAGGGGCCAAGAGGACAGTCTCCTCTTGCAAAGAACTCTACGTGGGGGGAAAATCCAAAAGAATCTCATACCGTTAGGAAGCAGCTGAGACCAGAGCGGAGAGGGGAAGAGAGAGAGAGAGAGAGAGAGAGAGAGAGCGAGCGAGCGCGCAGGCCAGAGAGAGCAGGAGGAGGGTCAAGGCAGGCTAGTGGCACGCCCCTTTATGGCAAGGACGCGGCGAGGAAGGCAGGGGGTGAGCCCAGGCACGTAAGTCCATAGCTTTACCCGGCAGTCACTGTGGCACAGAGAGAAACAGAGGGAGGAAGAGAGGAAAAGAAAGGAAAGGAGAAAAGGGAAATGGTCGGAAAAGAGGAGATCAGAGACAGTGCCGGAGACATCGCAAGGGGCGGGCGTGAGCCCGGGGACCCTCTCTGGGGGCCAGGGCTGTGCACAGAGGCCGGGGAGCGGAGGGAGGGGGCCGTGGCGCTCTCATTGGAGATGCACAAGGTGCCCTCGAGGAGGAGCTGGTGCCCGGCAGGCAGGAAGCCCGTTCTCTGCGCCGAGGGTGGCAGGACCAGCGGCACCAGACCTGGCAAGCAGCATCCCAAAAGCATGGCAGGGCAGGACCAGTGCTCGGCATAACGGGATGGGGCAGAGGAGCCTCGCTGTGGGGCGGGCTGACAATGGCTGAGAGATGGAGGAGAGAGGCTAGATGGTTGCAGGGCCCCCAGCGCGCTCCCCCCGCCCCGCCTGCTGCCCCACACTAAACCCGCTTGCAGCCGGCTCCCGTCCCTCGCTCCCTGTACCATTCTGGGCCCCGCTATCTGGGGGGCGCAACAGTGGGTTTGGAGAGCTCCTGCGGCTCTGCTGCACTGGGGTGAGCTGGGGGTCAGACCTCCCTCCCCCATGCCGCAGGGGCCTAGCCCCGCCCACGCCCCTCACCTGGAAGCAGTGAATATGTGCTTGGAATTGGTGCAGACGGCATTGATGGGGCTGTCGTGGCCCTTGATCTCCCCAACGGGAGTGAAGTTCTCCACGTTCCAGACCTTCACCATGCCCCCACGGCAGGCACTCAGCAGCATGGGGCGGCCGGGGACGAAGGCCAGGGCGCAGACCCAGTCCTTGTGTGCGTTGGGGATTTGCTGGCAGGCACAGAGACAGGGCAGAGCCAGTGAGCACCCTCGGGCCAACAGCGCCCGACCCATGCTGCCAGCTGGGACCATCAAGACCCAAACCGCCCCCCTGAGCTCTGGGGCAGGGTCAGACCAGCAGCCAGAGCCAGATCCTGGGTTTGCAGCTGGCTGCTGTTTCTAGAATGGGCTGAGGCAAACACCCCACATCTGCACAGTGGCTGAGAGCTAGAGCTGGAATTATAAAGCTCTGCTCAATTTCTCATCAAGCAGCAGCCGAGGATTCGAATTCAAGACAACAGGACTCTGGTGAGCTACAGAAGGCTCAGCAGGAGAGAAGAGGGCTACGCCCCATGAGACAATTGCTCATTGGGACTGGCCAGAGGATCTCCAAGCTCCGATTAATTCACGGCGACCATGATATGACCCCAGAATATGAGACACACAAGGCGAGCGAGGGAATCTCTTTGATTGGACCAATTTCTGTGGTGGGGGAAGGGACAAGTCTGCAAACTCACAGAGCACTTCTTCTGGGGTGGGGCTTGAAAGTTTGTCCCGTCCACCCACAGAAGCTGGCCCAATAAGAGAGATTCCCCCCCCGTCCGCTTTGGCTGCTGCTCTATCCCCGACCCACGGAGCCGCCGAAGGCCGTCCCGGCAATGCTGAGCTCCCCGACTGAACTGGGGAACCAGGCACTGCGGCATGTGGGGCCCAGAGACCAGAGAGCCACACTCACGGGGATCCAAAATAGGGAAAACGCCGAGCGCTATCTACCCGCAGATCAACCTGTCCCCCTTCTCCATAGGCCACTGAGCCCTTTAGCCGTAACAGGTGGGGCACAGCCCTATAGAACTGGCTACCATGCATTGCCCACGGCTGTAAACTGCCTTCAGGACCCACCATGCCAGCCACTGTGGTTTGCAACCCCCAGGGCTCTTCCATTGCCCAGAGGCCCTGTGTGCAATGTAGGGATGGGGTCCCTGCGTCTGCCCTCTGGTCCTCTACCCCCAGCATGGCGGGAGCATGCTCCAGATTGTACAGTGACACTCCAGCAGGTTCTACATCCTTGCTCCAGCCCCTGGCACCGGCCCTCACCCTCCAGCACACGAAATGGCACACTGCGGGTCTAGGCCCATCTAAATGCTGCCCCCCGAGCCCAGCAGCAGGGCCTTCCTGCTCACCCCACTCCATACCTGGAGGAGCTCCTGCTGCTCCAGGTCCCACTTCTTGATCCCGTTGTCCCTGGAGCCGCTGAAGAGCACATCGCCTTGGATGGCCAGACACTCGATGCCGTCGTAGTGCGGGGGCTCGAAGTTATGGGTGGGGCCAACGTTCCCCACCACGCTGTCCGCGATCTCAAACATCTGCAAGGCAACAGCCCGGAGGGCAGCCACTGTGAACCCCGGTGGCGAAGGAGACCAGCCGCTCTCGGGTCATCTGGCCAGCAACAGCCCTTCCCGCAAGGCAGGGGTACGGCTAATGCATCCGACCACACAGCTCCCACTGGATGCTGAGCCAGGGCCCGGCGCAATGAGACAGGGATGGATTGGCAGCGGCGGGGTTCTGCCTGCTTACGCCAGGCCACGATCCTTGCGGGGAGGCCATGTGGAGACATGATGGCTCAGTGCTGGGACACAGGTCACTGGTTTGAACCTCGCCCGGCTCAGCTGGGACTGGAAATCTCCACCTCCTACAATGGTTTGGCGGCCGACGTGCGGGCGCAGATCAGCGCCTGACTGGCAGGGGGCCACGTTGCAAAGACAAAATACCCCCTGGGAGACAGGTCCAGCAGAGGCCACAGAGGGCAGGCTGAGGCCGGTTCCACCTTCGCAGGAGGCACGTTGGCAGGGGGCGTGGAGGGAAGGCCTGGGCCGGGCACCTGGAATTCCGGTCTCCAGGGCTGGCGAGCGGCCCGGCACTTTGAGACACGGCAGCTCCTCCAGCATTTCCCGGATCTGGGTTCCAAGACGCTCTTAGGGGCAGTGCACAGATCCTGCTCCCTGTGACCCACAGAGGCACCTGGCAGACGGGGGGGACAGGAAGGCTGGCCAGCTGCAAAGCTGCCAGGTCTTTCAGGCCACGAGTCCTGGGGGGCTCATGGCATTTCTCAGACCCTGGCGGGATTTGCAGATGTGCTCAGCGCTGGCCTCCCTCTGCTCCCGCTGAGGTTAACAGAACGGCTCCCTCCCGCCCACCGTGAGAGCAGAGTTAGGCCGACACCAAGCGCTCTGGACAACCCCACCCAGCGTGTCCCCTCCTCGCCAGGCCTTTGGTGGGCAGCGAGCCCCTGTATCTGGCACCTACAGGAGATCAGCTATGCACGGGGCTGGGGAGGGCTGGTGCGAGCAGCGGGTCTTGGGCTCAAAGGCCCCTTGTGCTGCCCGTGAGCGGGAGGGAGGGAGGGTCCCAGGGTACCTTGACGTAGTGATCCTTGGAGCCGGTGATGACCAGGTCGTGGTTGCTCGTGGTCTGGTTCACAGTCAGACACATCACGGGCCCGATGTGGCCAGTCAGCTTCCCGATGGGCTGCAACCTACAAGCAGGAGCCGGGGCCGTCAGGGTGTGGGGCGTGCTCAGCAGAAGACGCTCGTTCCTGCAGGCCCTTCGCTGGCCCCGTCTCCAAGGCTCTCAGCAGGGATCCTTCCAGCCCCGGGCCCCTCTCCACCATCCCGAGCAGAAGTGGGGACCTCGGGCTCCAGGGCGCAGAGCACGGAGCACCCTTGGCGATACCATGTCCCTCAGCACCGTGGGCCGTGATCCTGGCCTCAGGCTAGGGGTGGGGAGCTGTGTTCAAGTGCAGTGCCAGGGGGTGATCAGCTTGTCTGCTGAGCCCCTAAGGCAGGGTGGGGAAACCTACGGCCTGCAGGCTGGATCCAGCCCGCTGGTTAATTTCATCCGGCCCGTGGCGCCTCTCCCGACCCCCCACCCCCTGTGGGGCTGGAGCTGCTAGCACCGGCTTGCCCCACTGCAGGGGAAGCCCCAAGCCCCTGCACCCCTAGAGGCAGGGGAGTGGCCTGTGATTGATTTTTTTTGTGGGTCAATGGCCCGTGACAGAAAAAAGATTCCCCAACCCCGCCCTAAGGGCTGCAGCTGGGAGAGGAGCGCGGGGTCCTGCTTTCAGCCACCCCTGGGCCTGATCATCGGCCCCAGCAGCTGCTGCAGTGCAAAGCCCCAGGGCAGACAGGCCAAGCTGCTCCACGCTGGGGTTTGTGCCTGTGCAGCTGCCCCCGGTGCCAAGTCCAAATCTGCCCCGCCTCAATAACAGCTTCCAGGCAGGAGGGAGCGGGCCCCAGCCCAGCCCAGCACGGCGGCTCCCTCTGCCTGGGCAGCACCCGGCTCCCGCCCCACAAGAGCTGCCCTCGCCTGGGGGCCCGAGTCCCGGTGCTGCCCTGACCTATTGAGCTCCCAGATGCGGACGGAGTTCCCGGCCGCGGCGTAGAGCATGGTGCCGGCGGGGTTGAGCGCGATCTGGTTGATCTGGTGCTCGCCCTGCACGCTGGCGATGGTGCGGGTCGTGGTCCCGGCACAGGCGTCCCCGGAGATCACCTGACCCGAAGAGCTAAGCCAAAGAGACAGCAAGAGGTGAGCCTCAGGGCAGAGACCCTCGTGGGGCGGGGGGCAGGTGAAATGCGGGGGGGAGGGAGGATTTACACAATGTGCAATGGAAGATCTGGTCCATTGCGGACTGATTAGAAGGCTGGGGACAGACACTAGAGGGCAAAGCAATGGCACTTCCTGGCCCCATGCAGTGCCAGTGGTGCCAGGATGAGACCCCCCCTCAGCCCCACGTCCCCTCAAACCAGGAGCAAAGGCACAGCAAGGGTGACCCAGGCAGCAGCTCTCGGGGGGCGGCCCCAAGGGAGGTGCCTTGCCGAGCAGCCAGCCAGACCCAGGCCCAGGGGCGGAGCAACACAAACCCCGCCCCTTGCCTGGAGTTGATGGTGACAGGCAGCCCAGGCCCGTTCCCGCCAGTCTGATTTTAGGTCTGGGGAAGGACTGCAGGCAAGGAGACGTCTCAGTCGGTGGCTGGGCACCAGAGAGAGGGGCTGATTCGCTGGGGTCTGGAAACGGTGCTGGCAGCTGCAGATGGGTCATTACCCATCCCTGATCAAAGCAATCGTAGGCAGTAGGGTGCACGGGGCCCCCTGAAACAGACTAAAGGAGCAACTGCCTTGAGAGCAGAGCACCAAGCCACAGAGCCTCCACGAGCCAGGCCGGGCTAGAGCGACCAGCATTGCACCGTTCCTAGGCTCAGCCCTGCAGCCTGCCTGGCCTTTGCTATGCTGCCCTGGGTGCGGGACGCTGGCAGGGCAGCGCGTCGAGCTCGGCCAGGCCCCCAGAGCAGCCTCAGCGCCAGGTACCTACGTGAGGGTGCGGACGCACTTGGCCGAGTCCCGGATGTCCCACACCTTGATGTAGGAGGTAGAGACGGTGAACACCAGCCCCGAGTGGCTGCAGTACTTGATGGACACCACATTGTTGGGGTGGCCCTTCAGCGAGGCGATTTCCTGGCCCGTCACCAAGTTCCACATTTTACAGCTCCGATCTGCGGGAGGAGGCGGGAGCCCATGACACTGTGGCCCCTTCCTGTCCTCAGCACAGGAACCCCATGGCTCCCTACCCTCCCACGCTGGCCCCCAGGGGTGCCCCAGAGGCGAGGAGCGAGCTCTGTCCCTGTGGCCCATTCAGCCTCCTGGTACCTCCACCAGAACTGCAGACAGGGGGAGGGTCTATAAGTGCCGGGTGGGAGGTGACACCCAGCCACTAGGGGCTGGGCAGAGGCCCCAACAACTCGCTTCATGGATGTCATGGGGAGGGATAGCTCAGTGGTTTGAGCATTGGCCTGCTAAACCCAGGCTTGTGAGTTCAATCCTTGAGGGGGCCATTTAGGGATCTGGGGCAAAAAACTGGGGATTGGTCCTGCTTTGAGCAGGGGGTTGGACTAGATGACCTCCTGAGGTCCCTTCCAACTCTGATATTCCATGAGTCCATGTCACCACACAGCTGTTCAGCCGTAATGACTTGTGAAGCATTACTGCACTCTACTGGGGGGACCCAGAACTGCACTGGCCTGCTGTGGCTTAGTTTTCAGATTTCAGAGGAACAGCTGTGTTAGTCTGTATTCGCAAAAAGAAAAGGAGTACTTGTGGCACCTTAGAGACTAACCAATTTATTTGAGCATGAGCTTTCGTGAGCTACAGCTCACTTCGTCGGATGCATTCAGTGGAAAATACAGTGGGGAGATTGTATATACACAGAGAACATGAAACAATGGGTGTTACCATACAGGCTGTAACAAGAGCATCTATTCAGGGGACACCATCACAGGGCCTAATCACATCAGCCACACTATCAGAGGCTCGTTCACCTGCACATCTACCAATGTGATATATGCCATCTTGTGCCAGCAATGCCCCTCTGCCATGTACATTGGCCAAACTGGACTGTCTCTATGTAAAAGAATAAATGGACACAAATCAGACATCAAGAATTATAGCATTCAAAAACCAGTCGGAGAACACTTCAATCTCTTTGGTCACTCGTTTACAGACCTAAAAGTGGCAATTCTGCAACAAAAAAACTTCAGAAACAGACTCCAACGAGAGACTGCTGAATTGGAATTAATTTGCAAACTGGATACAATTAACTAAGGCTTGAATAAAGACTGGGAGTGGATGTGTCATTACACAAAGTAAAAACTATTTCCCCATGTTTATCCCCCCCTACTGTTCCTCACACGTTCTTATCAACTGTTGGATATGGCCCACCTTGATTATCACTACAAAAGGTTCCTCCCCTCCACCCCCACCCATGCCGCTCTCCTGCTGGTAATAGCTCACCTTACCTGATCACTCTTGTTACAGTCTGTATGGTAACACCCATTGTTTCATGTTCTCTGTGTATATAAAATCTCCCCACTGTATTTTCCACTGAATGCAACTGATGAAGTGAGCTGTAGCTTAGGCCTACAGAAATTTGTTAGTCTCTAAGGTGCCACAAGTACTCCTTTTCTTGTTGTGGCTTAGGGGGCTCTCAGGCAGGCTGGTGCCGTCCGACCAGGAGGCTCGTGTCCTGTCCTTGCAGTTCGGGGCGGCTCAGCCACTCCCCTGGGTAACAGGCTCACTCCCCAGCGATCACACCCAGCGCTCAGCAGCCAGCCCACCCCTGCACCCCTGAGGTGTGCACCTTTGGATCCAGAGAAGAGCAGCTCGTCGGTGGCGTCCACACAGAGAACAGGTTTGGAGTGTCCCTCCGCCATGGATATGCACTGCAGCGGGGCTGTCCGAGCGCTCCTGGCACTGCCCACGGGGTTAATGAGGCCCCTTCCGTGAGAGAGAAAGAGAGCAAGGGCGTCAGCAAGGGGGCACTGGCTGGGTGACCTAGGACGGAGCAGGGGCAGGCTGGCTCCGGACCCAACCCCCAGAACCTCCAAGCTTGAACAAACTGGGGCCTGGCTCCTGCTGTGCTGTGGGGCATAAAAGAGCACCATGGCCAGCATGGGGAAGCGCCCTCTCTCCATCTGACCCACTCCGGTTTCCCAATGAGCTGCACCCCGGTTTGGCAGATGCGGAAGGGACTTTTAAAAGGTCACATGGCAAATCAATGGCAGAGCTGGGAACGGAGCCCAGGGAGTTTTCGATCCCCCCAGAACAGGGAGAGAACTCAGGAGTTCTGGCTCCTGAGCCAGGAGACAATCCTGTCTCAAACCAGTTCTAGGCTTTGCCCCAACAACAGCCAATGGGGCTGTGAGGGGAGTTCAGAGGGAGGTTCCAGAGTGCTGAACACATGAGACTCGACATCCCTGAGGAAAGAGCCCAGGTGGAAGAGCCCGTCATGGAGGGAATCAATATCTCCAGAGCAGCTTCCCAGCCAGGATCTCAAAGCACCTCCCCTCCTCCCAGCGGGGTTGGATTAAGGTGGGGACAGGGAGGGGAAAGGGCTAGCCCAGGGTCACACGGTATATTTGTGGCATGGCTGGAATCGATTTTTCGAGGGGCGCGGAGTACCCTCTACTCCAGCTGATGGTGCTGAGGGTGTCAGAGTCAGGCCCACGGTGTCTCAGAGAGGCACCCAAACGCCAGTGGGGAGATGCTCCTCTGCCAGCCTGGCCCTTTTGATGTGCAGGGCATGGGGGAGGGAGAGTTGTCTTCCTTGGGCTAGTGTAATTGGTTCTGTGTTGCTCATGTTGCCAACCCAAGCATGCTGGGGGCAGGGCCAGGGCCTTAGCGCACCCCATTAGGGGAACTCTGGGCTGTGGCACAGTCAGCAAGCAGCCCCTTGGGAGGTTGCAGTGAGTTAGAGCAACCCCAAGGCTGCTCTAATATATGTGGGAGGCTGCATAGGCCTCAGCAGCAGCCATAGGATCCTCAGTGCCAAGAGGCTGCACCCCAGGTGTTTAATCATTGTGCCTCGGTTTCCCCATCTGCGAGACAGGGATAACAATCTTGACCAGCCTCGCCATGGGTGTTGGGAGGCTGAAGCCCCGTTTGTCAAGCGTTTGAGATGTTTGAATTGAAGGTGCGAGAGAAGGACAAAACATCATAGTCTGGACCCCCCCAAACATCCACCAACTCCAACAGCTGGACTGCCCTGCCTCTTGGAGCTAGGCTAGACACAGCGCAAGTTATCATCCCTACCCGCCCTGCCCTCGAGGCAGAATAGAGCATGCAGCTGGCCCCATCCAGTCAAAGCACCGTACGCTATTTGCTTAAACACCCAGCACCGCATTTCAAGACAATGGCTCAGACCTTAAGGCTCTGGAGACCAGAGGCAGAAAGGGACTTCCACAGCCGGACACGGCATGCCAGGGCCATGCGGGGCAGCAGAGAGAAGGAAAGAGGGACACACAACAAGCAAGAGCCACACCACGACAGAGTCCCAATAGATTTAGCAAAGAAGCAAGGCCCAGAGATTGGCCAGCACAGATTCAGCATGCAGGGCAACGGGAGGGAAATGCAAGAAGCAGGAGAGTTCTCATCAACAGAAAGTTGTATGTACCTCAGCACCTCCGAGACAGAGGAATCGCTGTCGTCAGACCTAGGGACAGAAAATTAGCAGGATTACGGGAGAAAAAATCCCGGATGAGAGAGGCAGTAGCAGAGTCAGAGAGTGGAGCGTTGTTATTGCATCCAAGCTAGCGGGGTAGAGAGGGAGGAGCGGACACAGAAAACCAGAGAGAGGAAAGGGGCAGAGGAGCAGGAAGGGACACGTGGCTCGGACACAAGATCTTTCTGGCTGGGCTGGAGTCGTTCAGCCAGAAGGGACTGTTACAATCACCCAGTCTGACTTGTACAAGGCCTCGCCCGGGGATTCCTGCATCGAGTCCTCATTTCATCTCCCATGGTCCCCCCGTCCCATCACTGCCACCAGCGACCCAACCTAGCCCCCCCGGTTTCGGGGTCCAGCCGGGGCGTTCTGACACAGACCTGCTCTGCGCTATCGTGCAGTTTGCTAGCAGACGGGATGGGGACGGGGGGCTATTCCTGAGCTGCAGGCAGCACCATGGGCTCCCCCCCCAGGTTACAACGTCACCTTCAAACTGGGATTCTGCAAGGAGGCAGATGGGAGGTGGCTGCTGCCTGCTCCCCTAGGGCCAGGCCCTCAGGGGCTGTAAATCAAAGCAGCTCCGCTACCCCCACGGCAGCTAGGCCAATTTGCACCCACTGAGGGGCTGGCCTGTGACTGTCAAAGGCGGTCCTAAGGTGGACTCGATCTTCCGTGGAAACCCAGACTCCCACGGGAGAGCGCACGCCCCCAACCACCAAAGGGTCACATCCCCTGGCACCAGGAGCAATCAGGGAGCACCGACGGGACCCTGGTGGAAAGTTCGCCCCACACAGAGCAGCCATATCACCTCCTGAGGGGGCCCGGGGCCTGCGAGCAGCCGGTGTCTCCCCACTGAACACAGCGGGAGGGAGAGCACGGCCCCGAAGGGGCAGGTGCGATGGCATAGCCGGTGCCCCCAGAACCAGGGGTGGGGCCAGCTGGGAAATAGCTTCCCCACCGCCTGGGGACCCCTGCCAAGCCCAGCGCCAACGAGCCCCACGCTTTGGCGGGGACAGGATGGCGGCTCAGCGTCCTCAGCTAACAGCCCCCTGGGCCCACCTCACCCGCTTTAGAACTGCGGCCAAACCCACCCAGCGGCGTCACTGCGGGTGAAATTCCCCCTCTGATGGCCGCCAGCGTGACGGCTGCCATCTTGGCCAAGACACCGGGGCCCTCCAGAGCTACCAGCAGGACCTGAGGAGCCCAGGGCCGCTAGCGGGGCTTGCGACTGCCCCAGCCCCCCAGGGGATCCCCACGGGCCCAGCAGGGGCCCTGGCACTGCCATGTGTGCGCGCACAGCGCCAAGGCCGGGGCACCGCGTCGGGCCTGGCCTGAGGGCTCTGGCAGTGCAACGTAACGACGAGCCTCTGGCGGGAGCGTCTGCAGGGAGGGCACCTGCCGCCCCAGGCTCGCAACAGCAGCTGCTTCTGCCCGAGCGAAAGGCCCAGGCTTGGCCGCTCAGGGGCAGCCCCGAGACAAGGTCCAGCCAGTAGAGGGGGGCCAAAGACCCCCGCCCCCCATATCAGTGGGGTTATACACAGGCCTGGCATAGGGCTCCTGCCCAGGGAGACGCTGCCCCGTGTGAGGTTTTAGTGCACCAGGATTGCAGCTCTCTGCCTTCGCCCGGGTCAATTCACGAGCCCGGGGCAGACTCCGGCTGGGACTGCCGGGCCCCGGGGATGGTATCGGGGGCAGCCATGGGAGTCACCATCTGCCATTCACTGCTCTTGGGCTGGGCTTCCCCGGAGATTCACGCCCCCACCCACTCCTTGCCCCGTGAGACTCTTACTTGTCCAGCGCGGAGCCCTGGCTCTGGTTGCTGGTGAGGCGGGAGAAGACATTGCGGTCGTTGCGCGGCCTGGTGGGAGGGGACGAGGGAGGCGTAAAGCCAACGTCTGAAGTCCTGAGCCGGGGTGTTCAGAAAGAGACCCACGATTACAAACCTACCCCCTTGCCCTATTCCCCCCACCCCTCCACTCAGCACAGGGAGGCCTGCAGTGCCAGCCCATGGTGAAGTGATTACTCCCCTCTATTCGGCACTGGTGAGGTCACATCTGGAGTATTGCGTCCAGTTTTCGGCCCCCCACTACAGAAAGGATATAGACAAATTGCAGAGAGTCCAGCGGAGGGCAACGGAAACGATTAGAGGACTGTTCTCTAATCGGCTGTTCAGTGGTGGCAGATGACAGAACAAGGGGCCATGGTCTCAAGTTGCAGTGGGGGAGGTCTAGGTTGGATATTAGGAAACACTATTTCACGAGGAGGGCAGTGAAGCACTGGAATGGGTTCCCTAGGGAGGTGGTGGAATCTCCATCCTTAGAGGTTTTTAAGGCCTGGCTTGACAAAGCCCTGGCTGGGATGACTTAGTTGGTGTTGGTCCTGCTTTGAGCAGGGGGTTGGACTAGATGACCTCCTGAGGTCTCTTCCAACCCTGATCTTCTAGGATTCTATGGTACAGCTGGATCCAGCACTGAGCTCTGTGCCAGGGCGCTGCCGATTGCACAGGCCGGTCCCCGACGGGGAGCTAGGCCCATGTGCTCTCCAGCTGCTCCCCAGCTCACCTGGTCGGCTGCCCCCGGTCGTAGGATTTCCTCCGGGTCAGAGGCGAGGTGTCTGAGCCACGGGACTGCCTAGGGCTAGAACAGAGCAAGACCTGGTCAGCAATCGCCCCTCCTTGGGCCCTGGGCCCTTCAGCACCGAACAAGCCTACCGCAGAGCAAGCGAGCCAAGAGCCCTGGGGCAGCACGCAGATCCACCTCCCGAACCAGGGGCCCAGCAGGCTGGATCAGGCCCCGGCAGGGCCCAAGGTCAGGCCAGTGGCCCCGGCTAAGGGTTTGTGTTTTGACTGCAGGTCCTGTTGGCTTCATCACCGAGACTCTGCTGCCGGACAAGGCAGCTCCATGCCTTTGATAAGAAGGCCATGGAGACTGGACGCCCAACTCTGTCCCACAGCGGAACCCAATTTGTCCCACCTTCCCCAGTTCCCGTCCGCCCGACTGCCAGTGCCACAAACTGTCCATCCAAGATGGGAGAGCAAGCCAGGAGAGCTGGCCCCACCCCTGCATGCTGGGGACAGGCTGGGTTGACCAAGAGGAGTCCACACTCAAGGCTCCAAGGGCAGAATATGATGGCCCAGCCCACCTCGCCCCCCAAGAGCCTGTAAGCATGTGGAGCCCACGCTTGCCAGGGCTTACAAGGTGCTGCCGCGGGTGGGCAGGCTGATGGTGCGGGAGACCTTATCCTTGTAATAGGAATCTCGGATGGAAAAACCGATTCCGTCTTCTTTGATCTCCATAAGGGATACCAAGGACTTGGTGATGTTCTTGGTGGAGATGTCCAGCGTGGGTCCCAGGCACTCGGCCGACACAGCCTTCATCTGGCCTGACAGCTTGGGTTCCCCCTATGGCAGGGCAGAGGGAGAGGAAGTCTGAGAGGGGAGGAGTTCACTGCCCCAAGGGTAGCACATGGAGTGAGTCTGGCACCCCTTGGCCACTCAGTTCAAAGAAGACCCTGGGCCGAGCACTCAGCAGTGGCGGATGTAGGAAGACCTTTCAGTTGGGCCCTGGTTGCCAGCATTAACACTTCATACACACATTAGTGAGGGCAACAGGAAGTACCCACCCCGTGCTAGGCTAGAACATGCCCTGTATGGCCAGGGCACTGGAGCAGCTCTCCCAGGAAGATTCGGCACATGGAGGGACTGGTCCAGTCAATTAACTGCTGGAAAGGGTGCACAGCACCAGGGTATCGTGTGGGTTTTATTTGCTCCCAGAGGAGGGGTAGGCAGCACGAGGACACCTTCCCTGGATTCAGGGAAGCCCAGTACAGCCCAATGATGTGACACTTGGGGGTTTCAAGTGGGGTCTACCACTCAAGGAGCCATTTATAGGGCCAAAGTAACACGCCAGGCACAGACGCCACCAGGAGACCAGACCCCAGGCTATTTCAGTTCCAGACCCAGCTCCTCAAGGCATTCCAGCCATGGAGAAGACACCAGCCAGGGGCCACCACCCAGCTGTGAGCACAAAGGGAGAGGGGGTACAATGGACCGAGGACCCCACACCCACATCCAGCCGCGGCCACCTGGACTATGTTAAACGGCCCCATCTGTGGCCGTGAACTGACCTTGAACTTGAAGTCATCCTGGCTGGCCGAGCCCTTCATGGTGAAAGACTGGGAGAAGCTGTAGGGAACAAATGGTTCAATGGCCGACTCCCTTAAAGGTTTTACCTAAAGCTAAAGGAAGAAACCATTGCCCATCACCCCCACCCCATAACACCCTATCATCAGCCTGGCTACGGTTCCTCCTCCCATTCCCTGAGGTACAGCCCATCCCCTGGTCCCTTTCGGGGCCCTCTCCACTCTCAGCTCCATCTTGCCCCTGGTCCTCAAGAGGAATGATTGCTGGGATGGTTCTGTACAGCCCCTGCACGCCTGGGTTTGAGCAAGGCCAGTCATCGTGTGTGGGTAGCGTGTGCACTGTCCGGTCACATGTAGGAACTCTGAGGGGCTGGAGCATGCTCAGTACAGACAGAAGCTGGAAAATTTAGCTGCCAAGCTCTAACGGGTCTCTCTTGCCAACAAGTGCCACAGAGATGTGACTCCCTCCCCTAGCCTTGCTCACTCCATAGATCCGGCTGCTCAGGGGCACACGAGGCTGGGACACTGCATGCTCCCTGGTGCGCTCACCTCCCCTCCGAGGCCAGGCTGAACTCCGAGATCTCCTCGTCCGTGCTGGCGTAGCCATTCTCTGCACAAGGAACAGCCAACAAGGGGGCGTCAACGCGACAGAGGGTGGGAGGGCACTGCGCTGGGCCAGTCCAATCAGAGCCAGGCAGCAGGTGGTTGCCGATCAGCGTGTGGCCCTTTAGGTCCTTGGGACACCCCCCAGACCACTGCTATCGTATCATTAACTCTATGCCACCAAAGCACCATCAGTGCATCCTCACGGCTGGACAGGCTGTGACCACATGGGCGGATACGTCTGGAAGAAGCGGGCCCATCACTCCTGCCCACGGAGTCAGAGCAATGCCAAGAGCCCTGGGGTGGGCTCCATCTGTCCCAATGGGCAGACGTGCCATCTGTAGGGGGCAGGGAAACACCCCGAGCCTTCCCAGCTGCTGCCAGCCCCTGGTCCCACATCAGTGCTGCCGGCTCCCTTGCCAGCCAGTGCCCCATACCCACGGGGGTGCCCAGGAGGGAAGAGCCCAGCACCCACCTTGCTGCACGTTGTGGATGAGTGCCTGCAGCTCAGGGTGGGACTCCGCTTTCTCCCGCAGGGCATCCAGGATGACGTGGTTCTGGGAGGAGCCGGTCACGTCCGTTTGTCTCAGGCGCCCTTCCAACAGGCGGATCTGGGCTTCTTTCTGAGCCACCTGCAGCCCCTGTTTGGCGGGAGCAGGAGGTTAGCCTCCGTCCCGCACACAGGATGGGCCAGCGGGTGGGTCGGGGAAATCGGCTCCTGGCTTCAATCCCCATCCCTGGGCACAGACGCAGGTTCCACACCAGCCTCACTCAGATGCTGCTTGCAACCCATTCCCCTCCCTGGGACCAGCAGCACACAGCCTGGGCCAGCCTCTCAGTCTCCCTCACCCGCGCAAAGAGGATGCCCCAGACCCAGCCAAATAGCCCCGGCTCCAAACCTGCCCTGCAGCGACTGCGATCCCACCCCAACAGGGGGCTTCCTGGGATCCCATGCTCTGCGACCCGCCCCCCGGAGCTGCACCTCCCCGCCCCAGACGGCCCCTTGCCTGACCTTATCGATGGAAGCCTTGAGGAAGTTGTCCAGCAGGAGGCGCGCCTCAGCCAAGGAGCAGGAGCTGATCACCACGGAGGTGTCGGTGGAGTCCAGCTCCTCCTACGGTGCAGGAGACACCCCGAGGGAGGGGAATTAGAACAGCGCTGGGGGCGGGGTGAAGGGCAGAAAGAAGAGGGCCAGCAGAGACACCGGCGCCAGGTAACTGGGGGGTTCCCTTGACTGGCTGATGATGGTGGGGACGACGACTTGCACGCCAATACTGTGCGTGAGAACTCACAGTCAGGGGCCCATTGCACCCCGTGCACTGGATGCACGCCTGGATCCAGGCCCCCAATTGGGCCGTCTGTGGGCACCGAACCACACACCTGCGGGATCTCAAGAAGATGAGCTTCTACTGCCTGGACGGCAGGAGCTGCTCATTAGTCAGGTGACCAGAGCAGACCCAGGGCAGGTTTACACTGGGAGCTTAAACCAGCATAGCTATGTCTCTCCAGGGTGTGACAATCCTGCCCCGCCCCAGAGAGAAGTAGCTATGCGGACCGAACTAAACAGCCACCTCCTTGGGAGGTGGATTAGCTACTCCGACGGGGAGCGTCTACACCAAGCACTAAAGCCTTGCAGCGGTAGCCGTTGAAGCATAGACGTATACTAATAAACTGATTTACGTACGCCCGCCGCTGGAGGGGAGCAGAGAGGGACACTGTGCTAACCTGGATCAGAGCCCGCATGTCATTAACAGTATGTTCACACAGCAAAGAAAAACCCACGGCAGTGAGTCTCAGAGCCCAGGCCAATGGTTCCGGGCTTGCGCTACGGGGCTAAAAGTAGCAGCGTAGACGTTCCTGCCCAGGCTGGAGCCTGGGCTCTGAGACCCCTCCCCTGGCCAGGTTACAGAGCCCAGGCTCCAGCCCCAGTGTGAGTGTCTACCCTCTTATTTTTAACCCTGCAGCCCGAGCCCTGTGAGCCGAAGGCAATGGATCCAGGCTCCGAGACGGGCTGTGGGGTTTTCCTTGCAGCACCGACACATGCTACAGGTGCCAGGGAGAAAGGCCTCATTATTAGGGCTACTGTTCCGCATTTCTCGGTGGAAATATTGGATGAAAAATGGCTTTTTGATTAAACAAAAATTTCCTTTTTGCTCAAAATCCCTCCACCCCGTTTACAAAAGTTTGACATCAGAAGACTCTTAATGTTTGAAAACAGCTTTCAGCAGAAGTTTGCAGTTTCTCAGAAGGGAAACTCTTTCCCAAGTCCCCCAATTATTTGTCTTAATCAAAACTGATTTTCAAAAACGACAAAAAATTCCAGTTTCTCATGGGGGTGGGGTGGGGGGAAGAGAGAGATTTTCCCCTGTACGGACGGGGCTTCCACTGATTCCAGCGGGTGCAGAACTCCCATCAGGGCTGTTGGGCCTAGTGGCTGGTGGTGGACGTCATGGTCTCAGCAGCTGTCCATCCAGCACTGATGGAGACCCTGATGGACCAACATATAAGGGCCTTCCTAAATCCTGGCCCCAGCCGTGAAGACCTGCCCTCTTCGTGCAGCCGAAGAGGGCAGATTCGTGGCCTCTGCTGGTCCAAGCCAAGCCGCAGCCACGTCCGTTAGCCTGGCGCCTGCGGGCCTACGGCAGCCCATTGCACCAGCCCCGCCAGGGCTCAGGCACCTGCTGAATTGGGCCTTGTACAGCCGTCCTCAGCGACCACGAGCAGAGAAAGCAGCCAGACTGCAAACCTGCCTCCTGCAACCCTTACGCTTAAACTGCCTAGAGGAAGAGTCCAGCCAGCCAGCCTCCTGCCCACGCCCAGCCCCATCTATCGGCCAGCCCCCAGCGCACCCCCTTTCCCTTACAGCACACAATGCCCGGCTGTGATCTCCCTCCCATCCCCGCCCCCGTGAGACCATCTCCCCATACACAGACCCCTGCGCCTCGCCCCCGCCCGCAGGCCCCCTCCCCCGGCACCTTGGTCTCCTCCAGCTGCATGATGGTGGCCTGGCAGTCGGCGATGCTGTCGTTGATGTAGTCGATGTTGGCGGTCAGCACCTCGATCTCCTCGTTCAGCTCCTGCAGGCCCTTCTGCTCCTCCGGGCTCCCCGCCTGCAGCTTTCCCCTCTTCCCCTGCAGCGCCTCCTGCAGCAATGCCAGCTCCTCGCGTTTCTGGGGGGGCGGGTGGGAGGGGAACGCCTCAGCCGGCGCCGTCCAGGTGCCAGCAGCCTCCCAGCCCTCCGTCATGCTCAGGCCACCCAATCCGCCCACCTCCCCCACCTCACCTTGATCAGCCGCTCCATGTCCGCCTCCAGGTTGACGATGGTCATCCTCTGCATGACGACGTCGAAGATGCGCCGCTCCAGCGACTGCCACTTGAGCCGGGCCGCCTTGCTGAAGGACTGGCTCACCCCCTTCTTCGGGAACTTCTTCCTGCAGTGGGACGGGACGCAGTCAGGGGGCTCCCGCCGGGTGGGCGCTCGGCTAGTGCTCGGGACGGGGGGGCATTTACACATCGGGGCTGCCTCCAGCCAATGGGGGCAGAGTCACCCACTCTGCCTCCTGTCAAACCACGGGGCAGAGTCACCCACGACGATAGAGCAATCGTCTCCCGCGTGCCTCCTGGCCACAGAACTCCGCTCCCGGCTAACACCCAGGAGCCCGGGGGCTGAGGACCAAGCAGGGAACGGGGCGGCGGGGGACATGGATTTGGAAGCGCTGGTCTGACCTGACGGGCCGAGCCCCATTCACGGAGGGCAAAGGGTCTCCGAGGAAGTGGTCGATTTTCCGGTTCCACTGACGCACGATGCTGGAGACCGAGCGAGAGCCGGACTCCGGTTCCGAGGAGGTGGTGCTGGCGGACACCTCCGCGCCCGAGTCCAGCATGGCCGGCTTCTGACTCAGCCTCCCAGAGACCCGGTCCGACATGGGCTTGGCCAGGCGGCGCAGAGCGGAGACCTGGGCGAGAGCAGTGCCGGAGGGTTGGGCCTCCTGGGGAACACCCGCAGGGGGCATTGCCCTCCAGCCATCCCAGTGGCAGAGCGACTCCAACCCGTCTCAGGTGGCACAGAGAGCCCGGGAGCGGCTGAGCACCTTTCAAGAGAGCTGAGCCTATCTGGGCTGGGTGGAGGTCCGGTACCCTTGGAGAGCCATTTCCCAGAATGCATCAGGAGGGGCTGGGGACCCGTCCAGATTACCGATCCCGAGACGGGATCGAAGCACCGTCCCGCAAGCTGTACGGGCGCTGGGGCGGGAGGCAGCCTGGACGAATCACCCGACCGACTCTGCTGCCAGGACCCAGAGGGGGCTGGTGTTGACTGGATCAGAGAAGGGCCAGGATCCAGCCCCAGGAAGGGAGGAGGGGGGCACAGCCTGTTGTGCACACTCCCACATGGCATGCAGAGAATTCCTCCTTCCTGACTCCAGATCAGCTGCCCCTGGAGGCAGGTGTTTCCTCCCCCCCCCGCCCCGATCGCGGTCATCTCCAGCCTGGTTACTCCTGGCCATAAAACCGCCAGGCTCTGTGGGAAATCCACCCCACCCAGGGCCAGCGCCTTGGGAACAACCCAGCATTGGCTGAGTACGACCCACCGGGATGGCAGAGGGGACTGGAGAGGCCCCAGGCCCTGCCCTGCTCAGGGCCCCATCCAGCAGCCAGGCCTCAGCGCCCATCCGGTCACAGCCGCGAGCAGCTCTCCAGACTCCCGCAGGTGCAGGGGCTGGTACTCACCTCCTGGGTTTTCCTTCGCAGCACGATTTCCTGCTGCCGCTTCTGAGACTCCAGCGCCCGGATCTGAAACTGCGCGGGAGAGAAGCCGAGCCTCAGGTGAGTCCTGAGCGGGCGTGAGCTGCTAAAGAGGAACCCGGGCTCTGGGGTAGAACCCATGGCAGGAATGGGGGAAGGGGAGAGGACCCCAGGCTCCCACACCCCCTTGCGTGAGGCCAGCATGTGGGATGTTCTCAGTGCAGGCCATGGGCCAGATTCTGATCTCACCAGCAGCGGTGTAAAACCTGGAACAACTGTGGCATTTGCACCTGCCCTGAGCAACAACCAGAGATGCAGGAGGAAGCAATCACCTCCTCTGACCATGGGGAGGAACCTGCCACCCCAACAGGTGCTGATCTCAGGGGATGGATGGACAGACTGACACATGGTCAGGGGAGGGGACGTGTTGTCCTTTCAATAGGGGGAGGAGGGTGCCGGATGCTGTTTGAGTCCCCAGATAGACGGTGGGGCGGCTGGCTTCACAGACCCTCCCCCGATGCAGATTCAGCCTGCAGGCCTTGGCGGGCCAGCGGCCCATCACAGGCTCTGAGAGGAGCGGGCCTGGGGGCCAAGCCGGGCACTGATTCCAGGGGCTGGGCACGCGGGAGAGCTCTAGCACCCTGTCAAGCAGAGGCAGGGCAGAGCTGACCACGGAACGTCCTTGATGCAGGCGACGGATGGATTCACATCTCCGCGGCAGCCGTGTAAATCTGGAGCGACTCCGTCAATGCAGTTACTCCAGATTTACAACCAGCGTCATGGAGAGCGGAATCTAGTCCTCTACTGGTACAGCGCTTGCTCCAGATTTCCCAGCGCCTTGCTCAGTCATCCCCGCAGCTCAGCCCAGCTTTGCAGGGCTTCCCTGCTGCCCCCACATCCCAAATGGCTCCACCCCCTGGCTCAGCCCTGCCCGATCACAGGGGCACCCCTGTCCCCGCCGCACCCTGCGTCAGGGGCTCTGGTCTCACACAGGTAACTGCTCCCCTGCGCACAGGGGAGGGGACCTGACATCATGCATCAGCAAGGGCTCTTCAGCACCCTCCCCATCCGGCCCCAAGGAGCCTGGCTTGGGGCATCTCAGACCCCTTGGAGAACCCGCATTCCCCCTGCACCCCAGCCAGCTGGTGCGGGAGCTCAAAGCCAAGCGAGGGGTGCAGGCCCCAGCCGGAGCTGCCGGGCCTGCAGGGCCCTGGCAAGGTCCTGGGCTCTCACCTCTTGCCTGCGTTGCTCCTTCTTCAGCTGGGCGATCTCCCGGTTCCGCTTGGTCTCTGCCAGCCGTCTACGTTGCTGCTCCTCCCGCATCTGCTTCATCAGTGCCACCTGTGGGCCCGATGTGACGAAGCGGGACTGTTCTTAATGCTTCCTCCGAATAGTGTGGGGCTGCCTCAGTTTCCCCTAGGCAGTTCTTAAGTCTCTAGGGGGTGGGATAAGGGTGTGATATCCTTGCAGAGCCCTAGAGGGCAGGTGTGTGCAGGGATCTGCACACAGAGAATGGCCGACACCCTGTTTCCTGGCAACTGATGGCCAGGGCCCTTCCCCCCTGCAAGGTGAGAGCTAAAGGGTTGGAGAACAAAGCAATCTGGTGACCTCCTGGCCCGGGAAAGGGACAAAGCCCAGAGGAGGAGGGGCTGAGGGAGTTTCAGTTGGGGGCTGGCTGGGGACATGGAGTGAAGGACGTGGTTGTCTGGCTCACTGCCCCCCAAAATGGACCCGGCTGAGGGGTCCTGTTCTCTGCACCTGCAAGCTCTGTGTTAGACCATGTTCCTGTCATCTAATAAACCTTCTGTTTTACTGGCTGGCTGGCTGAGAGTCATGTCTGTCTGCAGAGTTGGGGGGCAGGACCCTCTGGCTTCCGCAGGACCCCGCCTGGGTGGACTCGCAGGGGGAAGCGCATGGAGGGGCAGAGGATGCTGAATGCTCAGAGGTCAAACCCAGGAAGGTGGAAGCCGGGTGAGCTGACTGTCCTGCAGACAGGCTGCTCGCAGAAAGGCGACTGCCCCATAGTCCTGCCTGGCTTCATGGGGAGCAGTTCCAGAGTATCGCCCGGGGACTCCGTGACACCCCCAACAGCCCACAGCCAGCATAAGGAGCGTGCCCAGTGGACCGTGCCCATCCACCGCCCCTGCCCTAGCGTGGAGAGCTGGCAAAAGAGGGCCATGCCCCTCCAGCCCGGTACCTTCGCTTTCTTCATCTCTGCCACCTCGGCCTGCAGCTTCTTGAGCTCCCGCTCATAGCGCGACTGGTTCTTGAGCAGGCGAGCGTGTTCCTTCTGGGCCGCCTGCAGCTTCTGCAGGTCCCGGTTCATCTCCTTCAGCCGCTTCTCGTAGTCCGCCTTGATCTTGTTGGCCTTCTCCTCCGTGTAGCATTCCATGGTGCCTGGAGAGGGTGGCGCAGGGACGCTCAGAGCGCCAGGCCAGGCCGAGCCCCTCATGCTCCATCCCACCCAGCCCTGAGGGAAAGCACCCTCATTGTGGGGCGCTTTAGATTAACTCTTGGCCTCCAGAGACAAGCCTGCCTGGTCCAGCAGCTCAGGAGACGTTCAATGGCTGAGTAGCCCAGACCAGTCATGGCCTGCAAGCCAGAACCCTGGGCCTATTTAAGACCAATAACCCTTGCAGCAGAGCAGTGCCAGGCGTGTGCCAGGGACTGCACCACTCCAGGGACTGGGCGTACACTGTTCTCCTCCAGGCAGCCATTGCCGTTCCACCCCAGAGGGGGATGCTGCTGAGATGAGTTTGGTGGGACTCAGCTGAGAGCAGGTGTCTCAATCACTAAAGTCTCAGGTATATCATCAGCTGCCCCCCTCAGGGAAGATGCCCAGGACTGAAAAGCCCTGGAGACCGAGCTCTCTGCATGGCCCTACCTCCATTGTCTCTCCACGGCCTCCACAGGCCCTACCTCCATTGTCTCTCCACGGCCAGTGGGCTGCCCAGCCCTGATCAAGAGGTGGGACAAGTGGCACGCTGCCGGGGGACCGTGGAGAGGGGTCAATCCCACGAGGTGGGAAGCCAGACACTGAGCAGCCAGCGGTAATCGCTGGGGACTGCAAGAGGGGCATGGAATGGAGTGGGGAGCGGCCCCAGTTTGGGTCTCATTGGGTGCCGGGAGAACCCCGGGGGTCTCCTGCCAGTGCTGGCTCAGAGGGCCCGTGTGGTGGGATGAGCCGGCGGGGTGGAAGGGGCACTGCCCGTACTGAGGTTCTGCAGCACCCGGTCCCTCTCCAGCTGGGTGTCGCGGATCTTGTTCTGCAGCAGGATCAGCTTCTCCTCATACTGGTGCTTGAGGGTCTGCAGGCGCCGCTGGCTGTTCTCCAGCTCGTCAATCAGCTTCTGCTTGATCTCGATCTCGCAGGTCAGGTCAGCCAGGTCAGCCTGGAAATTCACCACTAGCGGTGGGAAGAGAGTCAGTCAGCCAGGCAACCCCAGGGAGGTCAGGGGGAGAGTGCCAGGGAGCCCTGGGCTGGCCTGGAGACGGGAGAGGCAGTGCCTGGCTCATGGGTCCCCTGTGGACTCTGGCTTTGCAGGGGAAAAGGAGGCAGATGAGGCAGGACGCCGAGGGGATGGCATCTCGCTCCTGCAGTCTTAGCCCAGCCAAGCCGGTGGCGAATGCGGGGGGCTGAGGTGGGAAGGGGCACCAACTTGGCAGCCAGGCCTGTGCCACTGAGCACCAGCTGAGCAGGCCCACCTCAGCACCCCGACTGGCACCTCGTGCACCTCCAGCCAAGACCTGCCCAGCTCACCCCACAGGCCCGCTGCAGCCCCCTACCACCTCCCCAAAGCGGGCATTGGCCCTGAGTCACTGCAGACGCCCCCAGCCCAAGCCTAGAGCCTGGCGCCGTGCTCTCCGAGTTACCCTTCTCCTCAGCGTCTGAGTCTGAGTCCACCAGGCTCTCCTCACTGCCCGAATCCTCGTCCTCATCCTCACAGCCACTCTCCTCCCGCTCCTCCTCCTCCTGGGAAACAAGCGCAGGGTTAGGGCAGAGATCAGGAGCCTTCGGCCCCTCTCCTATTGTCCCAGGGGCTCAGGCCTCTCTCCATCCGTCAGCCCCAAACATGGGTGAATTAAAGCGATTGCCTCAGAAACCAGTGCCAGGCAGAGGCAGGAGAGAGAGCGAGGGGCAGGGCTGATCCCGCACCATTCAGGATGTGGGGTGTGCAAAGGGAGCGGGCCATGTCTGAGGAACGCCCCCCACCCTCCCTGCTGAGATGGCAGCTGAATACGAAGGGCCTGATGGGGCAGACGGGACACGGTTCACGGGACAAAGCCCAGCTGCGCGGAAAGCCCTGTGGCTAGTTGCCCTGCCCCAATGTCGCCAGTGCGTCAGATGGCACAGGGCACTGCCAGGGGGCAGAGGGGATGGTCTTGCCCGCCATCCTCGGCCTGTGCCCAGCCCCCACTCCCCACACCTAGGTGGGGCCAAACAGCAGCCAACTGGCTGCCCTATGGGGGGGTGGTCATGGACTCTGCCCCTGCCTCCCAGACGCAGCTGCCCCAATGCCAGCGAGGCACAGAGAAGGCTGTTACCATTCTGGCTAGCAATGGGGCTCCCACCCCCCACTCCACGGGGGAAGCCTCCCTCACCTCCTCATTCTCGTCCGTCTCCTCCCCGTTCTCCTGCTGTAGCTTTGGCCTCTTCTTAAAGGCCTCCTTCTCCGGGCTGCCAGGAAGAGAAGGGATGAGCCCTAGTGACGGGGGAGAACTAGCACATGGTCCCCTTAGAACACCCCCAACGTCCTCCATCTCAGAGCCCTTCATGAACCCAGCCCTCCGGAGAAACAGGCCAGGCAGTGTTAACAGATGGGGAGACTGAGGCACAAGGAGGGGAAGGGACTCACCCAAGGTCATGTGGCACATTGGAGGCAGAGCTGAGAAAAGAACCCAGGAGTCCTGATTCTCTGCTGTATGGTTTTGGCTTCCCCTAGGGATGGGGGAGCAGGATGTCTGGACCAGCAGGGCTGATGGGAGCTAGAGGGTGCCAGGGCTGGAAGCCCAGGGAGAAGTAGGCACCCCAATAACTATGGTCCTGCCATAACAACAAAGAGGCAGCCCCCCGTCTGCCCGCCCAGCCAGGGAGTTGGCCATCACCTCTTCCTCCGCTGCCTGGTCTCCTTCTTCAGCCGCTCCAGATCCTGCTTGGCCCGCCGAAGAACTTCGGTGGCCTCCGCCTCCATGGAGACCACGGGGCTGCTGAGTGCCCCCAGGCCTGGCCCTGGAGACGAGCCCAGGGAGTATGGGGGCCTGGAGGAGACCCGTGACAGACTGCGGCGGAGTGACTCGTTCATGGCTTCGCTCTCCAAGAGCTTTGTCCTGGGGACCGGAGGGGCTTTTGGTCATGGAGATCTGCCACCCTGGGCAGATGTCCAAGAACCCCAGGGGAAAAGACACGCCCCCCCCCCCAACCTCTAAGGAGGGGTGACCGGGAGAGCGTGTCTGGAACCTAAACTGCCCTTGCTCAGATCGGTCCAAGGGGCTCAGGGCTCCGCTCCTAGGGAGGGGTGCTGCAGAAGGGCCACCACTAACCATCCTCATGCCTCTCATGAGAGCAAAGAGTCCCGTCAGATGCCACTTCCCGGATTTAGTGCCTTCACTTGGATGGCAATACAGCCCGGACCACGTCACAAAGGCGTCTCAGCCCAGGGCTTCCCATCAGGCCTGAACACTAACGGGAGAGAAGCAACCCTGGCCGACAGCCAGGTCTCAACAGCAATGGCGATTCACTGCCATAGCAGCCTAACGGTTAATCTTTAGCCGCTGGGCTAGACACGGAGGGTGCACCTCTGTTTTCTAGCATTACGGACAGGGGTCTGGATCCTCAGTGGGAGGGGGGTAAATCCACATTGCTCCATAGACCCCAGTGGGGCAATGCTGATTTTACAACAGCTGAGAATCTGGCACAGAATGAGCAAGGGGATTCCTGTCTCTGGGGTTGTCAGTTTCTCTGGAACAAAATCCACATTTATGAACAGCACTAGCTATCAGACTGCATCTCAACGTACCTCTCGGAGGCATTTAAGTCTGGATCAGCCAAGGCTCCAGAGAAGGCTTGGGAGCAAGGCGGCCGGACAGAACACCCTACAGGATGGGGACATTTCCCTCTCGAATGTGGGGCTTTTATTTATATTTCAGCAGCTCCAAGACACGAGATCAGGGCCCTGTTGTGCCGGGTGCTGCAAGCACCCGTGAGACAGTCGCTGCCCCAAAGCGCTGACAATCTAAATGGTCACGTCAGACCAATGGCAAGAGAGAGGGGAAGGGACTTGCCCACGGTCACCCAAGGTCATTGGCAGAGCTGCAATATCAGCCTACTACTTGAACTCAGTGCCCACAACATCAGTCACCCAGCCAGGAGCGGCAGAGCCAAGGAGGGATCTGGGCCTCCCAGGTCAGCGTCGCCCTGCTAGCCCGTGCTGCCCCTTTGTAGGTCCTCTCGAGCTGCACGCGATACGCGGCCCCCCGGATGGGCGGAAGGAGAGAACGTGGCTCGCGCCCACCTGAGCTCCTCGATCTCCCGGATGTAGTTCTGGATCAGGGCGCCGATGGCCTCATTGCCGTCACCTGGAGTGAGAGAATTAGAATCACGGACAAGATCAAAAACACCTAGGAACCGGGGTGCCACTCAACCACCCTGAGCTCTGGGGTGGCTGTAATTTTCATGGTACCGGTCCGTATTCCCCACCCCACATACACGTCCTCCAGGGGTGTCCATCCTCACCTGCCTTAGCCAGTATCAAATTGGCCTCCTGGCTCATCAGGTGGGTGACCCGGCTGTTGATGGCATCTATGGCCTCCTGCATGGCCTTCACCCTCATGCGCAAGGTGGCGTTCTCCTTCTGGAGCATGGCGTTCTCGTGGAACAAGTCGCTGTAGCCCTCGGAGCCGTCCTCCCCGATCACACGCTTGCCCTGGGGGGAGAGGATAAGGGGAGATGCAGAGAGGGCAAAGCCACAGCATCCGTCAGCACTGGCCGAACCCAGCCAGTCATGCACTCAATGTCTCCGCACAGAGGAAGATGGGTAGGGTGATCCTACATCCCCGTTTTGGCTGGGACAAGTCCCTTTTTTAAGGCATGTCCCGGGTGACCCGACTTTTTTGGCAAAAGTGGGCATGTGTCTCCAAGAGCAAACGGGACACTCACTTTTGTCAAGAAAGCGGGGTGCAGAGGAACGTGGGGAAGGAAGGGAGGGCTCGGGCCAGGCCTGCAGGGTGTTCCGTTTTCTCTTTGGGAAATGTGGTCCCCTTAAAGATGGGTCACAGCAAGAGGAGAAACGTGGAAAATCAAAAAATGGCAGGTGTGCCCATGGGGAGGCCGTGCTTGGGGGATGGCAGAAACGGGGAGCAGCTGACATGCTGTAAATGCCTTTTACAGCTAAGGTACTAATCTGAGCCCCATGATGGCAGGAGCTGAGCACCTCCCAGTTTCATGCATTTACCCTCATGCACCCCCAAGGGGAAGGGCAGTGCTCTTACCCCCGCTGGACAGATGGGGATTGCGGCCCTGAGGCTAAGGGAGTTGCCCAAGGTCACACAGGGAGTCTGTGGCAGAGCAAGGACTTGAACACAGGGCTCCCAAGTCCCAGGCCAGTGCCGTGGCCACTGGGCCATCCTTCCTCTCAGACTGGTGAGATACATGACTCAGCTCAATAGCAACCCTTGGCTGCCTAAGGGCTGGTGCTCGTGGGAAACCAGCCCAGACAAGCTCAGCACGAAGCAGGATGTCCGATATGCCACATGGGACAGGGATATAAAGCAGGAGATGCCTTCCCAGCTCCGAAAGATACTCTGAAGCCTTCTCCCTGTTCATAGCATGACGTACAGCCCTTTTACAGCCTACCTCACCATAGTCCCTTGCAGTCTACCCACAAACTACCGCGTCTCTGAAACTCAGCCATCTCTGGGATGGAGCCCAATGCCACAGCATATACCACACCCAGGAGGAGTGGTGCTGGCCAAGGCCAGCAGACGTGTAGCTGTACACACACCATGGGGCCAGGTCTGCGCAGGGGAGGCAGGAGTACTTTCCCCCCCGCCATTCGAGGCTGTGTTGGTGCAGCTGGGATTTGAACCGGTGACAGCAAAGAGTCTACGTGTTTCTATCATACCCAGGCTTTGTACATGGAAGTAGATCTCCCTCTAGCAGCCAGCCCCAGCAACTGCAAAAGCCTGCCACAAACCCAGTTAGGGGAGTTAGTCCGTTAGCCCAAGTGGCAGGCACAGAAAGTCCTGGGTTCGATCCGCGCTGGTGACCCGAGTGGGCCGTACATGCGCGAGGCTTCGCCCACTCAGCCGCCCCTTACCGCCTTGTACTCCATGAGCTCCATCTGGAGGCGGGCGATCTCGGCCCGCAGGGCACTGATCTGTTGGCTGGTTTTGTCCTGGTTCACCACCACCTTGTTCTTGATGTTGCGAGCCCGGTTGGCGTACTTGAGCGTGTTCAAGGTCTCCATGAAGTCCCGGTCAGAGGGGCTGATGCAGGCGATCATGATGGTTTGACTGGGGAGGACGGAGAGCCAGCGGGGTCAACCAGAGCAGCCATCGAACAACGCAACGGCTGGGCCACATCAGATCAGCCAATTCCAACCCTGGCACGTGGGGGCCCATTGGCAGCTCCAGCCACAACCCCCGTTGGCCTTTATTTACTTTATAACCGGGGTGCGATTGACGTCCAGGCCATGCCTTGGGTCCCTTCCACCCTGGGCCAGCACAGGCTTGGAGTGTGGCTAACGCAGCAGCCTGCTTCGTGCTGGCAAAGTGCCGACCTCCCCTGCTCATTACAAAGTGATGTTCAGGGAGTCGCCACCCAGGGCGGCCCACGGCAGGGCATCCGGGGCATCGCTGAGGCAGGAAGGATTAGAGCAATCTTGTGCTGGGAAACTCAGCTGCCAAGTCCCGGATCACGAAGGGCTCAGACACATTTTGCAAGAGCTAATTCTGAGAAAGCTGCCTAATTGCGTCTGGGGCTCGGGACTGAGAGAGCCGAGATAATTACATTGGAAAAGCCGCCACGGAGACACCACCGGATCCTTGGCAATGCGCCGCACCAGGAAACGCACACGGCACCCCAGATCCGTCCCTGAGCCAGAGCGGCCCTCCAGTTACTCGGAAATCTCCCACCCCCCGCAGATGACACACCCAGGGTGCAGACCCCAGACCCAGCAAGGGTACAGCTCTTCCATTCTGGGTCATGCACACCCAGCCGCAGCGGACACCCGCTGGGTGACCCCATGCCCTGGCTCAGGGTGCCTGGTACCTGTTCCCCCCAAGGGAGTCCTGGAGGAGCCGAGTCAGTTTGGAGTCTCGATAGGGTACGTGCACGGCTTTCTTGCTCTGGTCTCCAAGGGCGCTTATGACGTTTCCCAGGGCCAGCTGCCAACAAAACAGAAGGGCCTGAGTTCTCGCCCCATGCTGGGGAGGTCCCTTCCCTGCGGAAAACAAAGCTCAGGGTGATCGGAGCCACCTCTTTCCGGGGAGCAGGGGGCTCTGGACAAGATGCACTTGCAGCTATATCAGCCAGACTGTGCTGCCCCTCTCCTGCCTCCACTTTATTCCTGAGCCCCCAGATCCAGGAATCTACCCCTACTAGGGACGGCGCTGGATAGCGCAGCTAATGACCGAACCAGGACTCAGCGTGACCCCCCGGCAGCCCCTTTATATCCACTGCAGCCCGTCTCGACCTCCTCCGCCCGCTAAGCGTCTACCAGGCCGCAGTTGATGGAGATGCCCTCCTTGGCTCTCTCGCCCGTGGCTCCTGTCCGCTTCAGCCTCTCCGAACCGGCCAGGTCCACGAAGTGGAACTTGGCGGAGAGGGTCTCGTACTCGCCGGTGGCCTGGGATCCCTCGGGAAGGCCGGTCACCTGGCAAGCAGACACGCCGCAGCGTCAGCGCGTCCCACGGGGGAACGGGGCATTATCCCTCTGCGCGGATAGTTCCCAACCCGACCCCGCTCCGAGCATCCCGCTGCAGCCTCACCAGGTCCGGCCGGGCACAGACTCTCATCTGGCACAGGTGGATGGTGAAGATGGCATGGGAGCGGGAGCTCTGGACATTCATCTGGGTGCTGGCGGTTGTGCGGGACAGAGCTCCCTGCTTCAGGCACTGGATCAGCTGCAACGGCAAGGAAAGGGTTAAAAGGAAACTTCCACCCCATCCTGCTGGGAGGGGGCACAATGGCAGAGTGGGGAGGGCGCCCTAGGTCAATGGGCCATAGTCACCCTGGGATGCGGGCAGCCGAGCCCCTGCATGGCATGCAGGCCCAGGTGCCTGGGCCCCGCACTGGGAGATCCCTGCCCGGTGACACTGGGGAGCGTCTCCCATGGCCACAGGGAACGAGGGAGCAGGCGCTGCAGGGAGACCGCAGAACAGCCCTGCTCACGAGTTACCAAGAAAGCCAAACCTGAGACCAGGGCGGAGGCTCACTTAGGGTCTGTGTGCTCAGAGAAGGGAGTGGGAATCTGCCCATGCACAGCCATGGTGAGTAATGTAACACTCTACAGATCGAGGTCCCGGTGTGCTAGGTGCTGTACAAACGCAGTGAGAGCCAGCCCCAGCCCCACGGAGCTGACAGAGAAGGGACTTGCAAAGGTTACACAGCAGCAAGTGGCACGGTGGGTAACAAACTTGCTCTCCCACGGCCCAGCCCAGAGTCCTAAGCACTGGTCCACGCTGCCCCCCATGATCTCTGCTGCACACAAAGTGTCTGGGGGCAACAGAGGAGGGATCTGACCTCCAGGTCCTGAGGGTCGTTTCTGCTATCCCCAGATGGCTGAGAGACGTTCCCGCTCACAGACAACGCACAGGGCAGGGGCTTCTCCAGGACCAACCCCCTCCATGCACTTGTGCCAGGAGATACCTGCTTGAGGCAGCAGGAGAGACGCGTCCCAGCATCACGCGCTCACAGTCCTGCCTTTGGCGCCTGACTTTTCTCCCCTGGGACCAGAGCCTCCTGCAGCGATGCCTGGTTAACTAATGGCTCTCACTGCCTGCTGGACGAGCGATTCCCTCGCCCCGGCGCTACAGGATGGGGGCTGCGTTTCCACCCCCCTTCGCCCTAGGATGCTGCTCCCATGGGAGACAGGTACCGCATGCCAACAACACGGGGGAGTAAGGGAGGGCTGGGCATGGAACCCAGACTCCTGCCCTCGGATAACAAAGGAGAAGCACATGAGCACTGAGGATGCTAGGGGACCACTCTCCCTAGGCCCTGCACCACATGGCACAGAGGGGAGGAGCAGGGGGCCTGGCGAGAAGGAAGGATCCAAGCACATAGAGTGAAGAGGCGGGGAGTGGATTTAAAAAGCCTCCTTTCTGGGGGCTGGCAAGGAGAGGGTTAACCCTGTCCAAGCTGGGTCCCCTCTTGCTGCAAGGGGGGCTGTTGAGTGTGGGGAAGAAGAGAGGGCTGGGATCGGCAGGGGGACAATTCCCCTTCGAGGGGGGGCTAGTAGAGCAGGTGGGGGGGAGGGAAAAATCCATTCACAGCCCATCCCCCTCTGCCGCCCCCCAGGTTTGGGACCAGGGAGCACGGTCGTAGGAAAATGCAAAGGGCTCGTATCCTGGTGCGGTGCCCTCATGCCACCCAGGGGCACATCAGCCGGCCATGTGTCAACGCCACACCCTGACCGTGGCTGTCCCAGGCCAGCAGCAGCCAAAGCCTCCCAGGGCTGGCTAGGACAGCCTGCAGGAGAGCTTCCGCCCTGGGACTCTGGCGGGCTAGTGCCCGACGCCCCTCGTCGTCACGGGGGCTCTGCCCCGCACAGCACCCGGCCCCTCCATTCTGCCCATGCCCGCTCTCCGGCGACCCAGAGCAGCCAACCCACGGCAGCAGCCAGGCCCCGGGCGTCGCCCACCTCGTCCTGGGAGCTGATGAGGCGGGAGGTGACGCCCGTGGTGTAGATGCTGCCGCTGGCGTCCTCGTGGATTTTGATGTTGGACTTGCGGTGGCGGGAGTCGGGGTCCCGGGCGCTGTCGAACAGGTCCAGGATCTCCTCGTTGTAGAGCTGCGGGGGAGGGAGACACGGGAGCAGGTTACTGGGCGGCACGGGGCCCGCGGCAGAGCCCAGCGCTTGGCTTCACAGCTAATCTCCCGCCACTGCGGGGTGAACAGGGGCCGTGCTGCGCTGGAGGAGGGAGTATCCTAGAGAGAGTCCACGCAGACCACCGCGAAACTCCCGTTGTCGTTTGCCAGTGGGTCCCAGCTGGCTACTGGATCTGCTGGCCCCACACAGGCCGCCACATGGACTAAGATACTCTAATGGCACCTGCTGGAACAGCTGGTAGAGCCCCCTGCTCTCTGGGGCTCCCCTGGCTGGTCACACGCCAACCTTCCAGCCGGGAGCTTGCTTCAAGGAAGAACTGAAATCGATTTGGGAAGATTTGGCTGGCATTAGGCTCGGCACGCAGTTCATTGCAACAATCCCAGCTCATGGGCTAGCAGGAAAGCACTGCTGAGCGGCTCTGAAGCTAAAGGCTAATCTGTTCCACTCTGCCCCTGGAGGAAGTTAGCTCCAGCCCAGTAAAGCCTCCCTCTAATGAACCTGCCTGGAGAGGGCAGAGGTCCCAGGACACAGCTAGGAACACAGCGGTAACAGCAGCCGCCTGTCACCTTGCATGCTGGAGCTTTAATGGACCCACAAGGTCACCCTCCAACGAGGGCACCTTTTATTCCAGCTGTGCACACCACGGCGCTGAGATGCAGCCACCTCTGGGGTGGAGGGTAGCCATCAGCACACCCCACTAGGGGAAGAGGGGACACTGGGGCAAACCATTTCCCACAGGGCCACGCTGCCCTGCTGGGTTTGCGGGGAGCGTGGGTGTTCAGCGCTGAGAGGGCAGGAGCTATAGGCCAGCTGAGCCGGGCTCTGCATGCGTCAGGCCAAGCAGGCAGCTAACGAAGCCATCCCCTGCTGACTGGCTGCAGCTGCACAGGAGCAGACAGTGTGGTCTAGTGGCTAGAGAACTGAGCTAGGCCTCCAGAGACCTGGGTCTTGTCTGTTCCCAGCTCTGCCACTGACTTGCCGGGTGAGTGACTTCCCCTCTCGGTGCCTCAGTTTGCCCATCTGTAAAATGGGGATCAAGATACTGATCTTCCTTTGTAAAGCACCTTGAGCTCTCCTGAGGCAAAGTGCTAGGTACCAGCTGGCTCTAGATGATGCGACGGTAAAGCCTGAGCTCTGCCTACACTGCGCCTTCGCCGTCACCGTGATTCTGCGGATCGCCTGGTCTGAGCCAGGCTGGGCACAGGGCACTACGAATGGGCGACTCTGAAATAGACCAGAGGGGTTTGTCTGGAGGAAACTCCTGCCTCACGCTGGGACTGGATGCTTCAGTAGCCCAGACATCTGAGTCTCTGAAACTATTTAACAGGCAAAAATATCCTGACCGGAAAACAGACAGGACACAAACTCAGAACTCGGCAGGCAGTCCCTGGCAGTCATTAACCCTGGCAGTGCTGGAGTCTCAGCAGCCTCCGGGCTTGGTCAAAGCTTCTCTATAGCCAAGAAGCTAGCATCTGCCAGCCCTGCCGTCGGACAGGACGGCTTCTGGTGCTGAACCTACAGATCAGGAGCAAGGCCAAGGTGAAGGGTTTTCAGATGTAGCTCCTCTTAGCCTAGGGGGGATGGTTCAGGCCATGTAAAGGGTCCACGGCGTTGGCCAAGTTCGCACATACTCTCCACATGCCAGCGCAGTGGGGCCAGATCCTCAGCTGGCGTCAGTCAGACACAGCTTCATTGAAGTCAGTGGAGTTATCCCAGCCCGTAAAGTCTAACAGGGTGTTCCCAAAGGGGATGTCGCTGGGAGGAAAGGGATTGAGCAAAGGGAAACATAGGCTGAATAGCAGGAGGTTTCCCTGACAGTGAGATCTACTGTGGCAACGTACCCGGTGGGAGTCCCAGCACACTGTGGCATTCACAAGCTGGCCTGGCTCTGGGGAAGATGTTATAGGAGGCAACCCTGCCGCAGCAGGGAGCAAAGGCTAGATGGGATCTTGCAGGATTCACTGCAGTACTTGTGTCGGATCCTATAGCTCATGCCCAGGGCTGGGCAGTCACACAACACTGCGGGCAGAGGGGCACTCCCAGCCGTGCTGTCCTGCTGGCGTACTGAACAAGAAGCAGGGTTAACCACCACTCGGAATAGCCTCGCCCCGACAAAGGGATTTCAAAGGAGGGGACAATGAGCAGGAAGGCCTCCCGCGTCCTGCTTCCATGCCAGGTCACGGGCGCTCACAGAAGAGCCAAAGCCCTGCCAAGGCTAGAGATCTTTGGGAACACGGTCACGCTTCCCACTTCTTCAGATCTGGGGCAGAAGAGATGAGGAGCGCGTCATAGAAGGGAAGGTTTCCTAAGCTGCAATATGGGGGTAACTTACCCAGCCAGGTACGGTGGTCTGAAGCCATATGGGTCTCAAATCTTTGCCCAGATGGAGAAAATGGAGCTCAGACTTTCCAGGGGAACTCTGTGCTGTAGTGGTTTGGGCCTGATCATCTGGAGATGTGCAATCCACTTCTGTTTCTGACCCAGGCTCGCTTGATCTTTGGCAAGTCACTATCTGTACCTCCATTGTAAAATGGACCATTGGTATTTATCTAATTCATAGATATTTAGGTCAGACGGGACCATTATGATCATCTAGTCTGACCTCCTGCACAACGCAGGCCACAGAATTTCACCTACCACTGCTGCGAAAAACCTCTCACCTATTCTGAGCTACTGAAGTCCTCAAATCGTGGTTTAAAGATTTCAAGGAGCAGAGAATCCTCCAGCAAGTGCCCCTTGACCCATGCTACAGAGGAAGGCGAAAAACCTCCAGGGCCTCTGCCAATCTGCCCTGGAGGAAAATTCCTTCCCGACTCCAAATATGGCGATCAGCTAGACCCTGAGCATATGGGCAAGATTCACCAGCCAGATACTACAGAAAATTCTTTCCTGGGTAACTTAGATCCCACCCCATCTAATATCCCATCACAGGCCATTGGGCCTATTTACCATGAATAGTTACAGATCAATTAATTGCCAAAAACATGTCATCCTATCATACCATCTCCTCCATAAACTTATCGAGTTTAATCTTAAAGCCAAATAGATCTTTTGCCCCCACTGCTTCCCTTGGAAGGCTATTCCAAAACTTCACTCCTCTGATGGTTAGAAACCTTCGTCTAATTTCAAGTCTAAACTTCCTGGTGGCTAGTTTATATCCATTCATCAAGGTGTTGTGAAGCCCAAGAAAATATGCCTCTGAAGGGATAGATATACAAGGATCATTGAGGGCATGGAGTGTTAGCAGTGGGATTAGAACTCAGGACCTCCCCGCTCCCAGTCTTTCAGTCCTTTCTAGGCTAGATACACAGCAAATGCTTTCTCCTCTCCATTTTTCCAACAGAGGGGGCATTTCTATGTTGGAGTGTGACTAGTTTTCAGATCACTTGAGATTTTGCACGTTCTAAAAAAAGCTGAAGTTTCAGGATTCCATGAAATTATGCAAAACTCATTTGGTAAAATAATGTCACAGTGGTTTTCAGTAATTTCACAAAACTCTCTCCCACCCAGCTATACACAGTATAATAATCTAGTCACTATACACAAGAATGGCATAGTCTGGATCAATTATATCACAGCATACATTTCTCTGTCAACATAATCTAAAAGTAAAATGCAAAGCCAACCCTTTAAAGATCTCCTGGCTTTTTCATATGCCTTTTGACATTACCAAAATAGAAATTTTGTCAGAACAGCGGGGCTAGCTATATACAGCCTTCCTGCATTCGCCCAGAGAAGGCATTCTAAACCCATTCCAGTCCTGAACTGCTGATTGATGCTGCATTTGGCTTTTTCACATTCCACCCCAGAACTAGCTGCATGTGCGGAAGAACTGAAGTGGTCAAAAAGTACACGCAGTCTGCAAGGCACGATGGGATCATTCTAGATGAAAGGCGCAATAGGAAAGATTTGGATTCAGGCTCTAGGGACTAAAAAACAGGGCAAAGGGGTGGCAAGGGCCAGTATGTTACTTTCAAGGTGATCATTTCAGTTGGTGAGAAAGCTGGAAGTAATAGATGGGGTGGAAGGAGCCATAGACTTCCTGCTTAGCCCCTGAATTGGGGAAGGCTGGGAAAACCTGCATCCTTTGTACAGCTACTGGACTTTGGGCCAAATCCGAATGTCGGCAAGTGGGTGCAGAGTACACTGTCTGCAGTCGAGCCACCCTCCAGCTCCCAGACACAGAGGGACCACAGATAACCAGCACCATGGCCTCCCCGAGAAGCCAGAACATAAGTTGTCAGCTCTGTTTTATGTAGGGCCCATCGCACATGCCCCCCTGCTGCAGCGTGTGAGCAGCTGTGGTTTGTGGCCGCTGGGGCGGACACCCCTGCCCATGCCCTGTTCCGGGGTGTGGGAATGGCAGCTCCGAGCACTCCCCAGCCCCAGCTCGTCCCCTGCTCGCTCACACGCACCTCCAGGAACTGGGCGCTGACTTTGAACTCCGGCACGGCTGCGCCATGCTCCTGTGCCGCCCGCTTGCGCTGCTCGATGCCACTGAAGAGGTGGGAGATGGCCCGCGGGATAATCCCATGCTCCTCCTCCGAGATGTTTGTGTCAAAGCCGGTGCCCATGGTGTACGTCTTCCCAGCTCCGGTCTGAAAGGGCACAGGACAGGTGTTTAGACAGCCCCACGGCGCATCAGTCTAAGAGCAGCCCCCTGCAGCTCCAGCCCTGGGCTGCCAAACCCAACCTGCAGCCACCCCTCCCTGACTGTTCCCCAACAGCGCTGCTGATGCCCCAAAATCCCAACCCGCAGCCCCCCCCCACCCCCCAACTTTCCAGCCCTGGGCCTCTGCCTCTGCACCCCACCAACGAGCCTCAACTCCGACCTGCAGGTCCAGCCCACCACCCTCGGCATGGCTTCGCTGGCGCAGCACTCAGTGCCCAGCCAGATAGCCCCAACGGCTAACACCCGAGCCTGGCATCAGTGCAATGGCCCAGGTTTACCGCCAAGGCCCAGGACGGGGACAGCCGGTACCTGGCCATACGCCAGCACGGTGGCATTGTAGCCTTCGAAGCAGCCCTCTATGAGTTTGCTGACGCAGGTGGTGTAGATCCGCTCCTGCCACGTGTCCAAGTCGAAGACAAAGTCGTAGGTGAATGCCTTGTCCTTTCCCAGTAGCACCTGGGGCTCCCCGGGGGGTCACCGAAGTGCAGATATGGCATCCCTCAATCTTCTCCTTTGACAGCTGGGGACGGATCCTGCCAGTGGGAGAAGACAGACAACTGAGGACACAGCAATCTTACCTCTCCCAGAGCACTCTGCATCCCTGCAGCAAGGGGGATCACCCTACCCAACAGTGAAATGCAGCCACCTCTGGGCTGCAACATGGCAGCAGCTGCTTAAGCACACAAAGTAACAGTCTGGAACAGGAATACCACACCCAGGTGAAACTGCAGGATGCAGGCTTTAGAAAGGCAGCTGGAATTTGGCCAGGGTGACCCCTCCCGACTCCTCTGACTAATGCAATGAGATATTAGAGACCACACAAAGGGTTGGGACCGTGGTGTTGACTGTCACCTCAATATTGCTCGTTCAGATCCCCCCGTCAGTACTTACTGACAGCAATTCCCATGTGATGGCTGCTTGGCCCATAGCAAGCGAGATTGGTGGGACCCAGTGATCACTGCCACCAACCTGACAGTCTATCCCTTAATCATTCTTGTGGCTCTTCTCTGAGCCCTCTTCAATTTATCAACATCCTTCTGCAATTGTGGGCACCCAAACTGGATGCAGTATTCCAGTAGTGGTCACATCCATGCCAAATACAGAGGTAAAATAACTTCTCTATTCCTATTCAAGGTTCCCCGTTTATGCATTAGCTCTTCTGGCCACAGCATTACACTGGGAGCTTGTGTTCAGCTGATTATCCACCACAACACCCAAATCTTTTTCAGAGTCACTGCTTCCCAGGATAGAGTCCTCCTTTCTATAAGTATGGCCTAAATTTTTTGTCCCTAGATTTATACATTTAGCTGTATTAAAATACATATTGTTTGTTTGGCCCCAGTTTATCAAGAGATTCGGATCACTCGGTATCAGTGACCTGTCCTCTTCATTATTTACCAATCCCCCAATGTTGGGGTCATCTGAAAACTTTATCAGTGATGATTTTACATTTTCTTCTTGGTCATTGATAAAAATGTTAGCTAGTGAAGGGCCAAGAACCAATCCCTACAGGATCCCACTGGAAACAGACCTGCTGAAGGACTATTCCATGTTTACAGTTACATTTTGAGACCTATCAGTTAGCCAGTTTTTAATCCATTTAATGTGTGGCACACTAAAAAACAAAATATAAAATTAATCAAAGTATACTGTGATATCAAGTCAAACACCTTACGAGAAGTTTAAGTATATTACATCAATGCTATTACCTTTATCAACCAAACCTGTAATTGCATAAAATATATCTATCTATATCTATATCAGGTTAGTTGGACAGGATCTATTTTCCATAAACCATGTTGATTTGCATTACTTATATTTTCCTCCTTTAATTAATCAAATCCCATATCAGCCGCTCCATTATCTTGCTCAGGATCGATGTCAGACTGTCAGACCTATAATTACCAGGTCATCCCATTTTCCCTTATTAAAAATTGGCACATTAGCTGTCTTCCAGTCTTCTGGAACTTCCCCAGTGCTTCAAGACTTATTGAAAATCAACATTAACCGTCCAGTGAGTGCCTCAGTCAGCTCTTTTAAAACTCTTGGATGTAAGTTATCTGGTCTGGCTAATTTAAAAATGTTTAACTTTAGTAGCTTCTCTAACATCTTCCAGAGATACAAGGGTAATGGAAAGAGTGTTATCACCATATGATGCGACTGAATCATTCATTTTTTGCCCCCAAATACCACTTCTACATCTGACCATTTCTGCATTATTATTAATAATTCTACCATTTCCAGCTACTAACTAAAGGGCCAATACTATTGTCCAGATTCTTTTGGTTCCAAATATATTTTTTAAAACTCCGTATTGTCCTTACTCTGCTGGCCATCAATTTCTCCCTGTGTTTCTTAGCTTCCCTGATCAATTTTCTACAATTCTTAACTTCTGATTTATATTCATTACTACCTAGTTACCCTTTCTTCCATTCTTAAAATTTTGTATAGCTTCCTTCACTTCCCCTCTAAACCTGGGTGGTTTTTTAAACAGTGCAGCCTTCTTCCTGAATTGTGGCTTTTTGGGCATCTAGTAAGGAGTTCTTAAATAATTCCCAATTATCATTCACATTTTTCTGTTTAAATTCTTTCTCCCAGCAGCTTTGGCTCATACTTGTTTTCAGCTTTGTGAAATTGGACCTATTAAAGCACCAAGTATCTATATCACTGGTCTGCACTTTATTCTGATTGCACATTATAAATGTGATCAAGTCATGATACTTGTTCCTAGGCTACCATTACATTTTAGTTCTGTGAGCAGTTGCTCTTTACCTGTAAGAACAAAGTCCAGTACAGAATCCCCCTGGGTTGGCTGCACCACCTTTTGAGTTAGGAAATTGTCATCTATAATAATATTTAGAAATTCAGAGGATGTTTGAGTACCGGCAGCAGGAGACCTCCAGCAGTCACTCCAATTGAAGTCTCCCATCATCACACAGGGTTCTTTCCCCCTACACGTCATAGATCGGTACATAAGGAGCTGGTCATCCAATTCCCTAGTGTGATTTGGGGCTCTGTAGCAGACACCAAATAAGTCCCCACCTTGTGCTTTCTCTGTTAGCACATTGATCTGTGAGCATTCAAGATCATTTTCTTCCAAGTTATCAGTGACTTGGAAACAGGTGATGCCATTTTGGACCTAGAGTGCCCCTCCCCCACCCTTTTGCCCATTCAGTCCTTCCGAAATAGATTAGAACCATTGCTTTTAACGTTCCAATTGTGCAAATCATCCCACCGGGTTTCAGGAATACCAAGTAGACCGAATTAATGCTCATAGATAAGCAATTTACCCAGCTGTAAGTGACTGCACAAGCCAGAAGGCACTGGGGGAATTGGGCCCTTTCTGAAGGGACTATATTTAGTGCTGGAGATGAACTTACTCTATGAGAACTTCGGCTCCTTTTGAAAGACACTTTGCTTATAGAATTAGAGAGAGAGGTGACTCACCGGGATGCCTGACGCTAGCAAACTGGAGTTACACTTACGAAAACCGTTTAAGAGCAGATTATTCTCAAGCCTCTGGAGAATCCCAGAGGATCATTCCCACAAAAGCATCACGCAAGCTGATTGAGAAAGCAGATTCCCAGCCCCAGTCCCCCAAGTAAATCAATCAGTCCAAAAAGGAAATTGTTCATTTTTGTCAACTATTCTCTACAAAATTATAAGAAGGACTTGTGGCACCTTAGAGACTAACCAATTTATTTGAGCATAAGCTTTCGTGAGCCACAGCTCACTTCATCAGATGCATAAAGTGGAAAATACAGTGATGAGATTTATATACACACAGACCATGAAAAAATACACATTGTAAGGAAAACGATCACTTAAGAGAAATTATGTTGCTTTTTTGACCAAACCCCAGACATTTGAAAAAATGTCACTTTTAGTAAAAACAAAACAAAACAAAAAAAAAGGGATTTTCTGTCAGAAAAAAACATGATGGAAATATCCCCCAAGCAGCTCTCCCTGCTAGAGCAGGAAGCTGCAAAGGGGGACACATTAGTGAGGACTTGGGCCTTGTGTTTTCAACCTCTGGAGCAGTTCACACCAGTAGCCTCAGTGCGTAATTTGTTGCATCAGAGGTGCCGGGGCTCAGCTCAGGCAAGTCCTGGCACAAATTAAAACACTGAGTAGCCCTTCCCTCCCATGGCACTGCCTGGCCTGGCCTAGGTTTGGTACATTTTCTGGTGTTTTGAAGAGGATGCGTGTGCGCGTGCGTACGTGTGTGCATTATATATGAGGGACAGTAAATTGTAGGGGAAGGTTTATGGGAAATATCCTTCCGCTATTACAAAAATAGTTCCTTATTATTATTGGTCTTGCAGTAGCTCATCGGAGCCCAAGTTATGGATCATGACCCCGTGGTGCCAGGCGCTGTACAAACACAGAACAAGAAGACGGTCCCTGCCCCAAAGAGCTGATGATCAACTGTGAGAGACCACAAGTGGCTGCTGACAGACGACGAGCACAAGAAAACATGGCCCTGCTAAAGGCTAACTAAAGTCTTAGAAGCACCTTTCCTATTTATGAATGGCTCCCTGGCCTAGTCAGATGCCAGTCTCTCTCCTCCTCCTCACCCCATTCTGCTAGAAAAAGAGTAAGGCCCATGTTTTCAGCAGTGGCCTCTGATTCTGGAGGCTTCTCTTTCTGGGAAGCCCATTTTGAGACAATTGGGGCCCAATTCCCAGAGGTACTGATTGTCCCACGGCTCCCACTGACTTCAGCTGGATTTCCTTTTGTTCAAACCTTTGGGGGGGGGGGGGAACCAAGCCCCATTCCGTCTCATGCTGGCCCCCCCAGAAGCAGAGGCACCCCAAATCCGTGGCTGATATTGAAAGTTTGTATTGACCAGCTCCCATTTTCGTTTGCACAATAAGTGGGTCAGGTCAGAAGATGCTGGATGGTCCTAAAAGACTGCTCCTAGGGGCAAGTTGGGGCCTCGGGTGGATTATTTCTCCTTCCAGACTTCTCTCCCACTCCTTTACTGCTTGCAACCCCTCACCCCACTAAATACGTAGGGGTCCCAGCTGCTAATTTATGGCAGTCGGTGCATCAGAGTCCTAACTGGAATACAGGTTTGGATGGCCTGGGCATATACAAACTACTAGGACACGTAACACCTGGTTTAGACAAGCAGATCCTCAATCTGCAAGGCATATGTAGGTAGGCCCCCACATCTGCGCACAGCCCCAAACTGCACGCCCAATTCAGGGATATAGAAGAATGCACGCTCGCTCATTTAAAATGCTGTTTATCAATACCTAGATTTCAAGGCCAGGAGGGGCCATTCTGATCATGCCGTCTCGTCTCCGGCATAACACCGTCTTTCCCCAGTAACTTCGGAATCAATCCCATGACACGTGGTTGAGCTAAAGCAGATGTATTAGAGATGCACATTCTTGATTTCAAAGCTTCAAGGGATGGAGCATCCACCGCAGCCCTGTGTAAATGGTTCTGGGGTCTATTTGCCCACACTGTTCAAATAAAACACAAACCTGTACTTTATTTCCGGTCTGAATTCACCCGTCAGCTC